GTGCACAACCTCCCCATGGGGAGGCAGTGCACAACCTCCATGGGGAGGCAGTGCACAATCTCCATGGGGCGGCTATGCACAATCTCTGTCTCTTATACACATCTAGATGTGTATAAGAGACAGCACTGGGTGACATCATGACATGCACTGTCTCTCTTTGGATCTCAACATTTTCCCGCCAGACGGCCCAGACCTAGTGTTTTGGCAATAGTATGGCGCGCAATAGTATGATGTCACTATTTTAACCATCAACAAATGCATGGAAGTAAGACAAAGCTTAATATAAAGGAAAAAAGTTGAGAAGTGTCAGAATTACCCATGGTATCGGAATATACTGCGTTTATCCTACAATAGTTTATCGTGAATGATATATAAATGTCTGTGTGCTTGGACAATTTCACCCATTCTTATGGCATTTCCATAATTTCTCAAGCATGGTGCAATTCCATAGTTAATATTAAAGGACATTTTAATATTAACTGGGATTAAGATTGATCAATGATTTTGATCCCAAAAATGATTTTGGGATTGATCAATGGACCTTTCCACTCCACAGCACACTAGTGAGTAGTGGCACCCCTCGCAAGATACAACTCTGTACTTATTTATTAAAGAAAAGACCACATTGGCCAACAACAACAGTTCAACTGACAAGAAATTTGAATTTTTTCAAAATAATAGTATGTATTGGTGTCAGGTTTTAAGGCCCTGGTTGAAAGCCATGCGAAATCTGAGAGCAAGGTTTTCATGACCATTGTGTAAAATCCTTGATCTGCCCAAAGCTCGGCCAGTCGCTACCCTCGAGCTTGTACTCTTTGTAATATGATATCCTAGCCAGCCCCTTTCTTGCGGCAACTGGTTGCTTTTAGGTGGACAAGGAATGGCCAAAGCGTATATTGTCGACTAAAATAGTAAAACTATTTTAGCTTTCTAAAGTACGGCGCGTTTTTTTTACCAACGTAGTACGGCGCACCGCGCAGGTCGTTAAAATGACAAAATAAATTCCTGCGCACCTGACACATCTTCCTGACCATGGTATAAGATCACACTATCATAGTGTGACTATGGATAAACTGGGCAGAAGCTAGGGTAAACGCGGTATATTCCAACACATTAAGGCCATAGCAAAAAATGAATGGATATAAAAAAATCACCGTATGCGCAACTTGAGTTCTGTTGCTTTACGTCACTCTCAAAACACCACACTACACACAGCAACAATGAAACTGTTGAAACGTCACAAAATGTTATACCATATTTATTTAAAAGCCTTTAGAATGCAAACCTACCAAATCCATATATTCCAATGCTGTGTGTGACAATATTTGGCATTTTGTGAGACTAATTCCGGCCGCACTTCAAACTCTACTAATTTGTAATTCCGACCCTCTTGTGATTGAATTCCGATCGCTGTGTGAGCTGTATTGGAATACGACACAGCTCAGAATTAGAACACTGTTGAATATTGAACACTACTTAATTAGGCTTTTAACCCATTAATGCCGAGAATTATGTAACGAGAATTTTTCAGAATTTTTCATGCCAAATGACTCTTTATGATGTCAATAAACAACTGAAACGCTCAAAACGGAAATTTATTTGGAAATATGAAAAATACCGCTTGGGAACATATGTGCCCATTCGGCTATAAAATCATGATTTTAGAAGAAATTGAAATAAACCTATAAATATAGTCCTTTGTTAGCTCTATGCATACAGACTCCTTTTTATTTCTCAAAAGCTAAGTAGTAGAGTATCTATGGCCTGTCTCTTATACACATCTAGATGTGTATAAGAGACAGGNGAAAAAAGTTGAGAAGTGTCAGAATTACCCATGGTATCGGAATATACTGCGTTTATCCTACAATAGTTTATCGTGAATGATATATAAATGTCTGTGTGCTTGGACAATTTCACCCATTCTTATGGCATTTCCATAATTTCTCAAGCATGGTGCAATTCCATAGTTAATATTAAAGGACATTTTAATATTAACTGGGATTAAGATTGATCAATGATTTTGATCCCAAAAATGATTTTGGGATTGATCAATGGACCTTTCCACTCCACAGCACACTAGTGAGTAGTGGCACCCCTCGCAAGATACAACTCTGTACTTATTTATTAAAGAAAAGACCACATTGGCCAACAACAACAGTTCAACTGACAAGAAATTTGAATTTTTTCAAAATAATAGTATGTATTGGTGTCAGGTTTTAAGGCCCTGGTTGAAAGCCATGCGAAATCTGAGAGCAAGGTTTTCATGACCATTGTGTAAAATCCTTGATCTGCCCAAAGCTCGGCCAGTTGCTACCCTCGAGCTTGTACTCTTTGTAATATGATATCCTAGCCAGCCCCTTTCTTGCGGCAACTGGTTGCTTTTAGGTGGACAAGGAATGGCCAATGGTTGGCTATAACTAATTGGACTAGGCTGACCACTGGTCATGTATTATTCTTCGCCTCATTGAGTTCTCAGCACCATACCGCCTGTCATGAACTGACAGTCTAGTAATTTACGACGTCTGTTTCCCCTCAAACTTTTCCACAACGCCTCCATTTGAGCAGCTAGTATGCGGGATTTTCCCTCTGCGTGTCAGCAGGCTTGATCATAACTATTTTTTGAGAAAGAATATTTACAACAAGGAGGCTAATCAAGGAATGCCAAGTATGCCATTCAATGGAAAATAAAAATTACAACCCTTTTACATCTCAAAAAAAGTAAAAAAGTTGTAGACTTGATGAACAAAACATCAAAACCAAAACTTAGTTGCGAAAACCTTGCTCTCAGACTTCGCTCGGCTTTCAATCAGGGCCTTAAGTCATTAAATGACTAAAAATATTAAAAGTTCATCTTTCTGCATAGATTTCAATGCTGTTAACATTGAGAAACTTCAAAGTATCTCTGTTATCGATATACTTGTATATAGCCAAATTATAATTTATTATCTTACATCTTTCAAAACCCCTTTCAGAACCATTTGGTCTACTTGGTCTGATCAAATGTAGATTTAACAAAAGTTTTTGACATTGATGTATAATGTAAAGAACTAGATATGTGTTTATGCTACTAATTTATCATAGAAGTTGTATCCCCATATTTCCATGCTTTGTTGAAAGTGAAATTCATCACCTGGAATGAGAATTTTCAAGTAACACATGAAAACTTGCGTCGTGTGAACCTCCCATAGTATGTAATGAAGTCTATCTGTGAAAAGCTTTCTATGACTTATGTCCATAAGAGAACAATAATATAGATTGAAATTATTACTCCACAAATTTATTTGCTGATTTTCAGTAATAACACATATTAATTATTCAATTTTATAAATTTTAATATGAATTGAAACCTATTTAAAGTCTAAAATGGCCCACAAAACTTTTCTAAAAGTACTTGCTCTATGATGCATCACATGTTACATCACAGGCAGTACATATAGTCAGATGGGGTAAGACAGGACCGAAATCACTAACAAGCCTGTAGCATCTATACCATGAATAACTAAAAAATCCTAAACTTGTCACAAGGTGTAGTTATGCAATAGGCTTCTAAGCTACAACTCAGACCTTTTGCATCTAACATAGTTTTCTGTACAGATTAAAAAAGGTGAGCCGGTCCCATCTTACCCCATTGGGGTAAGATGGGACCAGGCTGGGGTAAGAAAGGACCAACTGGTAATTCTTATGTTACAAGGTTTTTAATAAAAGTACAAATCTGATATTCAATATTATAGAACCTGCATTGAGATTCATGTACTTTGTATTGTGTACATGTAAGTTGTATTGTATTGCTCAGTCGACTAGAAAATGGTGACACACACCACTGGCTCCAGTACTTCAACATTGACACTTATAAAGTTATACTTTATTCTAAATATGAAATCTCAAAAATAAATATAAATTTTAGATTATTTATTTGAATGTAACTTTACATCTAATATAAGATTTTTAAATGACTTTTTTTTTATCTAAAATTAAATTATTTAAATTCCTAAATTGGGTTGGTCAGAAATCCTGTCTCTTGTCACTATCCACAAGAGACCCAGACCAGGTGCCCATGGCCAAGACAGATATGTACCACCAATCCTAGAATTGCACCATGCTCTTAAGTGTTAATTAAAAAAATCTCAATTTTGTCAGCTATTTAAAAAAAAATAGCAAATGAAATGGTTGTGTTCACCCGCAATTCACAAAAAAATTGTCAGTGTGGCACAAACCACAAGAGTGGTTGCTATAGAACTTGTCATGGAACAGGCATGGAATATAGTATATGGAAATAGAGCTTTCCTGCCATCTTTGGATCCCCAAGTTTCCTGCTAGATGAATTATCTGCTATCTAATTGTTACCACTTACCACAATTGAGTTAATAATAGTTATCTCTATTGTGTGGTTAACAATTGTTAACAGTGCATGATGGAGCTGAAAGAGAATGCATATCATGGAAGGTGGAACAAATTCCATAGCTGCAGTATCAAGGTTTGAAGACCCATCAGTTTAATATGATATGAACTAAAGCTAAGGACGCTTGTGCCCAAACTAGTAAATGTTTGCAATACACGGAGGTATGAAAGATGCCATTAGAAATAATGTCACTTGTTTGCTTTAATCGCAAATTCACTAAAAACTTAAAAGCAAAGAAAACTCCACAACAATTCATAGTATCTTTAAAGAAAACGTTTCGGAGTCCAGCTCCATCGTCAGTTCGAAAATTCTAGAACACAGATAAATCAGTAATTAGTACAGTCATGATTGCATCAAAAAACCTAAGCTGTAAAACCTATCTATTTACAATTTCAAGCGGGTAAGAGCTAATAGCCAAATTAAAACTAGGCCTCTGTTTAAAAATATACAATGATTCTAAAATGCGCAAATCAGAAACACCGGAACTGGAAGCTAAAACTTTGAAGTCACTGTCAGACACTGGAACATTGCACTGCTCGGCGTGAGCCCGCACAGCTGAATGAGGGGGGCGCGACGGTAAGTTACCAGTTCTAAAACTCCTGCCCTTATGTTCTGCAACCCTAGAATAAAGATTGCGAGACATCATCCCGACGTACGCAGATGCACATCGTGCACAACTATATTTATAAACTAGGGACGCTCGCATATGCATAGGGAGAGTATCTTTGTACCTAAAAAAAGAACTGATTTTAAAATGGTTGACCAGTATAACACGTAGGTTAACATTTGCGAAATACTTAGAAGTTTAATTTGACCCTAGTTTGAATTTATCTTTTAGCTCTTACCCGCTTGAAATTGTAAATAGATAGGTTTTACAGCTTAGGTTTTTTGATGCAATCATGACTGTACTAATTACTGATTTATCTGTGTTCTAGAATTTTTGAACTGACGATGGAGCTGGACTCCGAAACGTTTTCTTTATGCCATTAGAATAAGTAACTTTACAATTGAGAAATGACACGCTAATGGTTGTTTTCATCTCAATAGGATATTTATTGATGAATATTTCAGGTTGGAATAATCAATGAACATGCTATCATTAGAGGGATGCTCGCAGATTAGAAAAGTCTCATTGATATACCCATTGTAAGAAACTGGCCTAATGTGCAGAAGACAATAGGTAAACCATGCAACCTTATGTAAGCCTATGAAAATATCAGAAAATGTAGGGAGAAATGGAAGGTCCATTCCTAAGTCAATTTCTTTGTAAAATTTACCAGTAAATATGAAATAAGAGTTTATAACCAACAACAACTGTCAGACCAATGACCAGGTCATTCACATCTCCAAGCAAAGAGTTTAGGCAAATTTCAAAAGTCTATGTAAGGGAAACTTCAGTGAGTATATTTTTTGTATCAAACAAAGCCATTGTCAGGAGGTGCATTCAAGGTGGATTTTACCAAGTTTGGTAAATTCTTTCAAGTGATGATAAACGCATTCATAATATAAGAGAAAACAGTTCTTTGCTAAATTTGTAGTTCTCGTTTTGAATCGTTGCACAATTAACCAGTTAACAGTTGACAATACATACATGTTAGTTGATTGGTTGACAAATTTTATGAACTATTTATACAAAAACATATAGTTGAAAAATCTCATTATAGAGATTCGATTTTTGTTTAATCTTCCTTGTGAAATAAAGGAGTTTATTTATTGTAGTCAGTTTTGTTTCCGCCTAATTTCCTAGATTTAATCTATTGAAATACTATAGTAGAATTAGTTTATTTTTCCATTATGTTTTTTACTCAATTGAATTTTTTTCTCCTTTGCAGCTGGTGTAAATTTGAAGAGTGAAAATGGATTCTGAAGACCACTCCATATCCAACAGTGGAGGTAATGTAAAAAACTCTCAGTTTAATGCTGAAGTAGAACACAGTTCAGAAAAACAAAAATCTGAAACTGGTTCAGTGGTTGACTCCACTAAAATTTTACATGATTCTGTAATGGATATTGCTGATGAATTCAACTCCTGTGAAGTTTCATCCAAGGCTAGCACTGGCAACAGTTCAACTGAAAATCCTGAACAAGATTCAATGCCTAAAGTTAGTAAGGCCGTGCGGCAATGCATCCATGCTCTGCAAGAGGCGCCTGACACCACCCACAAGTTTGCTGCTCTCATGATGGTCACAAAGCTGATCAGAGCTGAGGTTTTGGATGACAGAATTAAACTGAAGCTTTTTGATGCTATTGGAACAGAATTTCTCACCAACCTCATTAGAGAAAATATAGGACCTGATGGTCACCCTGATCCTATATTCAAATCAATTGCCTTATCTATTTTGTCATTTTTTGTTACAACAGGGCACAGAAAAAGTTTTTTTGTGTCACTGATTCCTGATCTTTTGGATATCATATCAGAGTCAGAATTGCATGCTGATGACCTTTCACTCATACAGGATGCTTTTAAATGCATTGATGGGATAGTTGCCCACAAGTCCGGCAGGAAAGCATTCATTAGTCATGATGGCCTTGATAGCTTGATAGACGTTTACCGACTTGAAAATTTCTGTCAGGGGCATGCCATGCGAACTCTTATGCTTATCATGGCAGAGGAAGGAACTAATACATGGTTGCAACACCACGCAAGCTTTACTAAAATCATGACGCACGTTGCGCACGAGTTTGCGATGAATAACTGCGAACGTAAGTTCGAGCTGTGCTCGCTACTGGTCGAGCTGCTTCACAGTATGAATGACACCCATGAAGAAGATAGTGGCTACGAGTGGCAGAAGCAAGTGCATCAAGGATTGTGTGACATAATTCTTAGTAAGCTTGGGAAGGAACAACGCTTCCAAGGCTTGCATTTGGCAGCTGCTGCGCTGGATGAACTTGGTCCGACGTGGGTCATTTCTGGAGGAGAAAAAGGCCAACATTTGATGCTTGTTATGGTGCATCTGGCTTGTGTGGAAGTGCGCATGAGCCTTGAAGACGAATCGTTTGAGAAGACCGTGGCTTTCGCTCCTCAGACCACATCTTGTTATCTCATTCTAGAAAATGCCATTAAATTTTTAGTGAATGGGGCCATGGAATTGGAAGGGAAGCAAAAACAACAACTCTACGCTGCTTTGAAAGGGGCTTTTAATGCCGTGCTGTCCTTCCTAAAAAGCGTCACAGAAGAAAAAGTTCATACGAGTTCTGCGTCTACTCAAATGTTCATAAGCGCAACAATTCGTGTCCTTGGCGCATGGTTAGCCGAAGAAACAACTGCCAACAAAAGCGAAGTGTATGAAATATTGCCGCTGGTCATTAGTTTATCAAAGTATAACTTTTATTTCAATAAGGAAGCTGGAAACAACGTACGTAGGAAGACCAAGTCGAGCGAACGCGACGAAGTGGCCGATTTGCCTGATTTATTGAGATTTTTATTGCCAGGACTCTGTCATTTGACAGCTGAGGATGAACCAAGGAGCATTTTACTAAATTTTGGCATCGAAAAGTTACTTTTGGACTACCTAACTTTTCATTATGAAACTATTCGTCCCTTGTTAAAATCTGCTAAAAAAGAAAGTATTTCTTCCAGCGCGACTGATAAATCCGTGATCTGTGATACTGTAATCACTCTTTGCTCAATCTTCATGAATATCGTTGTTACGTGCCCAAGAGAAGTTCAATCGAATGATCTGTATTTCAAGCTCCTCAAGATCATTTTCAGCATTTCGAACGAAATTCCTTTAGAGCGAGGTTTTCTAAGATTTTGTGGAAATGTCTGTGTTTTGGGATTAATGATTTTGCGACACCATTACGCGCATGTCCGAAGCGCGAATTTCGCAATTTACAAATTCATTCAAAATACCGTGAGGTTTCTGTGGGATGCCCACAACATAGAAGAGAGCTTAGATTACGCAACACTTGTCGTCTCGCAGAAATACCGTATGTTATGGGACGAACTAATGGAGCTTTGGCATCTAGGTATGCACAATCTCATGATGCTGTTGGCGCCGATACCTTGGCTGTGCGATTTCTTGCTCGAATGTGACTGGCCGCAAACAATCATACAAACTCTAGCGCAAGTTAGAATTGAAGGCGTTGACCCTGGCTTTAAGACTGTGATTGAAGATATGTTGTGTATGATGGTGCGCTCTTCTGAACCTGCCAAACGCACCTTGAAGCAAGTCGATGCGGTTAGGGTCGCTAAATCACACGCTATGGAAAATCTCGCTGTGCTTCTACAAACTTAGTTAATTTTTAGTAGCACTATGTAACAAAATTACGATACTTGTAATCTAATGCTTGCGAAGTTTCACTGCTGTGAACATTTTTTTTCCTTGCTTTAAGGCGCCCTTGTCCTTAGAGTGGTACCTCGTTTCTTGACTACAATCCGTTCCGGAACTGTGGATGTTACCTAGTATAGAGTATTCAACGATTTTGTACCGAGAAAAAATGTTTAACTAAAATAACTTTTTCATCTAACTCCCGAGCTGTACATTGATAGCGTTCTCACAAATATATGCTTTGCTCATATTCTGGCTTGCTGATCCTTATATCACGTTTTTATTCCTATTAGCGATTATTTTTGTCGTTCTATCTGCAAATTTTTATAGTTTGTCAGTTTCTCGAGATGATACGCTCGAGTATTGTGTGTAGATCACACAAGTGTGTTAAAATTAAGAATTACTTGAAGTATCCTTTGAAGCCCTTACCAAGCGTCAGTTCGACGTATTCGTTAAAAAAACACTGGAAAGAGTCTACGCCAAAAGTGGTCAAGATCGAAGTAGCGATTTGCGTTTCGAAGCTCGCTAAAACTCTGGTCGAGATCAACAAGGTGGCCGAGACGCCGAGTGGTCGCGCATCGGCGACAGGCCAGCATGGCTCAATCAAAGCTGGCAGGTTCAAATTGATAGGTTCAAAGTCACTATTAATTTCAATAAAGGCGAGTGTTTTGTGCATTGACGAAGTGGTCAATACTGTCGATTTTTATTTTACGCTTAATTTGGTAGATCTTATGTTGCCCACGCACATTTACTTCAACCGTTTTCTTCTTTATTACTAATGTTAAGGTTTGCAAACTATTGTGATTTTAAACTAACTTTATGTATATACCACCTTGCTGAAGGAAAATATCCTGTTAGAATGAACAGCTGCGCATTAGCTACAAGTAGATTGATTCGTGCACCAAGGAATAATTGACGTGAAGGATGCTAAGAATTGCGCACGTCAGCATGCGTTCGAAGTCGTAAAGACGTCTCTTTATTTAAATTGATGTATAAAGTGGACATTTAAGTAAACGAATCGTCCGCAATTAATTTGCTTGGGATCTAACCAAACGAGCCAGTGCCTAAGCCACCGACAATTATGACGATAAATGATGATCTTTGTTTGCAGGACCGTCGATGTCCATAGACGATGATCTGGACGAGCTTGCTTTGGAGCGATTAATGCTCCTTGACGATTTGCTGCAGGTATGCTTAAACCGACAGCTATTAATTTCACCTGGCGTGAGAATTTGCGGTCTTTCATGAAAACAAAGAATTAATTACTGGAGTCGGTAGAGCAATGTGATTATCAATTTTTCTTGTATTATAACGTTAAATTATCGTTGCTAAGCATAAAACGTTCAATTTTCCAGAACAAACAAATGTTGGCAGAGTTCTTGAGACACGGCTTTTTCAACCTTGGAAAAGCCAGGTATTCGCTTGGATGCCACGCTGTCAGTGCACTCAGAATTCCAGAGAGCTTCATTAGAGCCTCCACGAAGACAGAAAGCTACAATGAGAGGATGAACGATGATGTGAGCTACGTCGCCAGGAGAATTGTGAAAAACGTATCTGATTGCAAGTCAGATAAATCGGAAGACGCCGGCCTCTTGGACAACTGTGATGACTATGCCAACAAGAAACCAATTAACTGGTTCAGCGCTCTCCCACCGAGAAGTTTGCGCGATGCCGAATCTCAGTTCAATTCTGCACTGCAACTAGCGGCCAAGTGCGCGTCACTGCAGGAGCAACTCACGGCGTTGAATGATCGCTATCTTGTCATGACCACGCAAATGAAAACTCAAGTCCAATGAAAATTCCTAAGGGAAAGTGAAGAAATTATTCGACTTTTTTATAAAACGCAAAGAACAATTATATGATAGTTACGTAAACGGCAATGAACTCGAAAACTTGATCTTAGCTGGTTTTAATCAAGAAAGGTGGCAACAACACATTAAGTTAGACTAATTTAAATTACGTAAGGACAGCCAATCATACACGTGTAAATATAATGATTCTATTTATGGTTTATTTTTGTCCAATAAATTGTAACTCCATGAAGCAGTGAGAAGTCCAAATCAACATCGAAACGCCCATCCAACTTTGATGAAATTCCTCCTCGTGCGTTGTTCGCTGAAATAGAAACATTTCGATGAGACGTATGCACTTTTCAGAAATATTTTACGCGTATTTAAGTCATTCAGTCCGCCACTTGGCATGTTTAAACAACTGCTCCCATCCACACCAATAGGTTCTGCCAGCATAACTGACATTGATGTGTTAGCGATGGTAACATTCAGACGTACAATTCATCATAGATACGCACTTAAATAAACTGCTGCTGATACACCAGCATATACTTGAGAGGCTTCACGCGGCACTACGAATATCATACTTTGATTTGAAAATAAAGATTCATTTAATCATTATTGTCCAGTTTACATGTTCATGAGCGTATAAATAAGATATATATACTGTACCTGCCTTTTTAGATATTTGTCTGCATCAGGATGCCATATTTCATCAGGATGCCTCTGAAGTTCCCATGACGCACTTCGGTGGAAAATACAAACGGTTTAAAATGTGGTGTATCATTTCCATTCAAGACTCATGGTTAACGCACCACAAACTTCTTTCTGTAAGAATAATAACCAAGTTAGATGAAAATAAGAACAACTTCGGACAATATTATTCCACAACAAATTCAGTAAGCGCTTTCTTTCAGGACAAAGTATCCCGCCAACCCACATGTTGGTTGGTTCGATACCCCTGCGCTACTCATCACTTAAAATCACCCGTCTAACATTTAGAAGGCTAACGAGTTAAACTTGTCTTCTGAAAAATACTTACTATTTATGTAAAAATCATGACTACAGCACGATGCTGCTTCACAGCCACTGATCACAAGTCGAATTCTACGAATAAAGAAATACAAAGATCAATTTCTTGTTAAGGAACATTACAGTCATTGCTCCATGCTTACTATAAATCAGTCCGCCATTAGGCCTATTTCAACAGACGCTCTCATCCACACCAATAGGTTCTGCCAGCATAACTGACATTGATGTGTTAGCGATGGTAACATTCAGACGTACAAGTCATCATTTAGATAGAAATTTCCAGCAAAAAACATGTGTCGAATACAAACTCTTACCTACATGAAGTTGTCATGTCATCGAGGTCGCGAAGGGTGTACCAGTCGACGTCTCATAGCAGCACAGATGTTTTAACTTGGGAGTTTCTTCTGAGCCTGCGAGGTGAATTGATTATTCATTTTCAGATTAAAATATTTGGTCAAAAAATAATTTATGACCGTATTCATGTAATAAGGAACTCAATTATTTTATGCATAGTCTAAGAACTCTAGCTCGAGTAATAAAAATAATTAACGATTAAACAATACTCACTTAGACGTGTGAAGATTGTGGTACCGATGAAGGAGACTAAAACGCTCCCAAGCGTTCAAATTTTAATACAAAATGCCGTTTCTTATATTATTTGATACATTTTTACAACGTATATACACTAATTAATGGAATACAAGCATTAATCGTCCTATAATCAGAGATAACAATCTTAATACATTTTGCATGGCTTGAAATTAGTCAGCAAGCAAAGACGATATCCTGCGCTTGGAATTGTTCATTGTAGAGAAAGCTAATTAGAACTAACAGAAACAGAGCCAGCCGTCTAAGTACATGTCATTGAATTGAGAGATTTCAAATGAATTTTAAACAAAGTGGATCTCTCCTGAGGTGAGAAATTCGCATGAATAGGTACGTTGTGCAACCAATTGTAATACGAATCACAGGAAAATATTCTCGCATAAACACCACAAAGAAAGTATATAACTCTCGTGAACATCGGGAAGGTTGAATGCCCACATGACCAGATCAACAACACTCATTAACAAAAACAAGTATGAGAGACGCAACAGATCTTGGAACATAATCTATTGAAATTAGGGCATTTTCACGACTATGATCCTGCAAACCGTTCGCGCCTACTTTCTAGCTAATCAACTTTTATAATTTAAATCGAAAAAGTAATTTTGAGCGAGTTTTAAGAATAAAATAAACAAAATTTATATAATTCGAATAGAAGAAATCACTGATATTTTGCCTAATCAGAAGCCATCAAGCATTGCTTAAGGTAGGGCGATTTTTCACAGACAACGTCGCAGAAACAAGCTTTACCTGAACTGTTACCGTTAGTAAAATGACAGAATTTTCACTTTGCCTCGATGAAAAGAGTGGATGCAGTGATCCGACTGGCAAAAAGTGTAAGATGACTGCCATTTGTCCAGTCACAGCAGGACACCTCTGAAGCTACGCTCTTCTGCAACGTTCTACGACCTAGCGATTTTATGTTAGGATCTACATAATAGACTTTTTTATTACTGCTTGTCCTCTCCTTTCTTTTTGCTCTCCTCTTCAGCAGTCTTTTCACTGGAGTGAGCTTCTCCCGAGTAGTCATCTGAAGAGCTGCCGCTCCTGCTGCTCCCACCCGCTTCCCGCTCAGCGGCCATCTGTTGTGACGATTTATGTTTTGCTATGTTGCATGTTATGCTATCATTCAATTATCAAATAACCAAGATTTACGTTAAACTAAATTTTCGTGCACAGCAGTGTCTATCCGCCATAAAGAACAATTACTTCAATTCTAGTATTTCACGCGGAGCAAGAGATCAGACATACGTCTCCTTACCTTCTTGTAAGCCATTTCAAAAAGTTTGAGAGAAGCCTGCTGGAGCTCAGTTACTTTCTTCTTAATTTCCTCAGGATCAGCGGAGTCTTTAATTGCAATTAGTTCGCGAACAGCCTGTATATCAGTCTTGAGCTTCGAGACCTGCGACAAAGATTAGACAGTATTGAAAATATTGATCCACTTGCAAGCATAACTTAATAATAAGACAAAAAGTGGTTATTCGCAAACTTAATCAAAACAATAATCATGAAAATGGTTAGGAAAAAATACTGTTGCTTCAGAAAACATAAATAGACAACCAAATTCATATCATTAGCATTACTAGATAGATTTTAAAACGTAAAAATCGGCTCATTTTAATACCTCATCAGCTGGGAGTTGATCCTTGAATTCATCGAGCTTAGATTCAGTGTCATGAATGATGCTCTCGCCCTGGTTGATGGCTTCAATAAGTTCTCTCTTCTTCTTATCCTCTGCAGCGTACTGCTCGGCTTTGCGCACCATGTTTTCGATCTCCTCCTTGCTTAGACCTCCAGAAGACTGGATCACAACTGAAAGAATATGTGTAGATATGCTTTTAGTGAACAAAAACATAATTTAATACAGATCAAGCACAAGTCATGGGTAGATTAAGTAAAAGAGAGAATTGCACTCTTATCTCAGATCACATACAGAAAATACAAATAATCTTCGACTTCAGATTTATGAGAAGATTAGAACAGATAAGATGTGGAAATTTGATTAAATTTCATGGCATAGCACGCGTAATGATATTTTGAACAAAATAAAAGTTTCTAAAAAAAAGCTATTACAGCTTGACAATTTTGAATTATTACTCACTCTGTTGTTCCTTGCCAGAAGCCTTATCGCGGGCAGAGACATGCACGATGCCGTTGGCGTCGATGTCGAATGTAACTTCGATTTGCGGGACACCTCGTGGCGCGGGAGGGATGCCTACAAGGCTAAACTGACCCAGGATTTTGTTATCAGCAGCCATCTCGCGCTCGCCCTGGTGCACCTTGATCTCCACCTGAGTCTGGCCGTCAGCGGCTGTCGAAAACACCTACGACAACGAAAGTCCACTTAGAAATTACTATGTTCTCATTATAAACTTTATTAAAATGCGACAGAATTTCGCTTACACATGATTTTAAAATGAGTGATCATTTCAATTCATCGTGCGACTCTATATTAATAAATAACTATTGATCTCAAACAGTTTCATTTTTACTTGTAATTCTAATGAAAATAAACAGTTAATGAAACAAAAAATGCTACAACATGACCTGAAAAAAAAATTGAAAACCATCAACATTTTATAATGCCTCATAAGAGGAATGCAAACGTCACATCAAGCAGACTGATAAAAAATTGTTTGATGCTTGCAAACAACGACGGCTGTGCGTTATGCGTAGAACAGAATGGACACCGGAAAAAATTTAATACTTCAAGGAAAATCTATTTGGTAGACAACTCGCACATAAAGAAGCAATTTTTATGCCAAATTTAGGAGCAACCGCCATAACAAATAATGGATAGCACACCTGACTCTTGCGGGTAGGGATGGTTGTGTTCCTGTTGATAAGCTTGGTCATGACACCGCCGAGCGTCTCAATACCAAGTGAGAGCGGCGTAACGTCGAGCAGCAGCACGTCCGTCACATCACCGGCCAATACACCTCCTTGAATAGCAGCGCCCATCGCTACTGCCTCGTCAGGGTTCACTGACTTGCTAGGAGCACGTCCGAATATCTCTTGCACGGTCGCTTGAACCTGCAAAGTTCAATACCACTCATAGCTATGGAAATGATAATAATAATGGCAAATAATTATTTACAAAGATGCGCAAAACTTGACTTATTTTTTTTTCTGTTCCTTGATGATATCTCAGCGTTAACTTCAGACATCTCGCTAGTAACATAATAAATGTTATAAAATATAAATGTCGAACGATATGCACGGAAGTCAGAGTTCTGGAATGCTGACGGTACTCAAAGAGTTACAATGCCGTGTATTATAGCTATGGCAATTACCTTTGGCATCCTGGTCATGCCGCCGACAAGGAGGACCTCCCCAACTTCATTCTTTGTAACCTCGGCGTCCTTGAGGGCTTTGATGCAGGGTGCAACCGTCCTCTTGATGAGACCATCAACCAGGCTTTCAAACTTGGCGCGGGTCAGCTGTACAGGGCACAGTGGCAAATTACAGTCCATTCAAAACGACTTAATTAAAACGTCAATTAGGTTTATAAATGTAAAATAGAACTGATAAAATAAATAAATTAGAGATTTAATGCAAAAATCAGAAACATAAAAAGAGGATCAACATCGATAAGCAGAAATGGAACCTATGTAACTACATTTTCAAACAGAACTGGCATATACAACTGCGTATTAGCAAGCATTAAATTAATTCGTTTTTAGCACGCAAAAATAGAATTTAAAGATCTACATATATCGATGAAAGATTCGAGATAAAGATGAATAGAATATACAGATTGATACTAACAAAGCGAAATAAATACAATGTCATGAACAATTTAGTAAGGACTAAAGGAGGATTGAAATTTAAAAACCAATGCAGTCGCGAATTGAATTAAAAAAATCACTGAAAATCGCAGCCTCTGGAGTAAAGACACGTCACAAGGAGGAGAAATAATTACCTTCAAGTTCATGTGTTTAGGCCCTGAAGAATCCATGGTGAGGTAAGGCAGGTTAATGTCGGTTTGAGTGGAGGCAGACAACTCAATCTTGGCTTTCTCAGCTGCTTCCTTCAGCCGTTGCATTGCCATATTATCCTTGGTGACATCCACACCTTGTTCCTTCCTAAATTCAGCAGCCATGAAGTTCACAAGATGCCTGTCAAAGTCCTCTCCTCCTAGGAAAGTATCACCATTTGTAGACTTGACTTCGAATACACCTTTCTGGATCTCCAAGAGTGACACATCAAACGTCCCGCCTCCGAGATCGTACACAGCAATAACCTTGTCCTCTGTCTTATCCATGCCGTACGCGAGTGCAGCAGCGGTTGGCTCGTTGATAACGCGAAGGACGTTCAAGCCAGAGATCTGGCCGGCATCTTTAGTGGCCTACAAAAAATAATAATAATTCAACAAAATCAACATTTATCGGTCTGGCAATAAATAAAATGTTTACAACACATGATGACGCTTAACACACAGAATAGTATCATGGAGAACCAGATCTTTTGGTGTAAATCGTGGGTAACTTTCAAGTAATGATAACTGTTGAGTAATTAAACCGATGAAATAGCTAGGTGAAAATTTTTAGAATTCAAAATAGATTACTAACGCATATATTATGTATTTAAATGCATTGAAATAAAAAAAACACAATTTGAAAACATACCTGACGCTGTGAATCATTGAAGTATGCAGGGACAGTAATAACGGCATTCTTGACAGGTTGATTTAGATACGCTTCTGCTGTTTCTTTCATTTTGATGAGAGTAAACGCACCAATTTGTGAAGGGGAGTAAACCTTGCCATCTGAACCTTCAACCCAAGCATCGCCGTTGCTCGCACGCACGATTTTAAAAGGAATATTTTTCCTGAAAAAGTTCAATTCATTTATTCCTCTTCAACTAAAATCTTCCATTGCAATCAAGACAACAATGTCAAGGTGTGGCTTCATACCTTTCAAAACAAGCTTAGCAAGCTGTCAGTTCAATACAGTATCAAAAAAATACTATATATTTATGATGCACAAATATAACATACATAAATGAATGCAGCACACAAGTGTAAGAGAACGAGACAAGATGGTAACTATTTTTTATAGAACAGTATACAAAAATAGCACAAATAAGCTTCCACAATAATTTCAATTTTATCATATAGACACAAACAGGAAATTTTCATCTAAAAGGTAGCATGTGCGTCAAAAATGAAAAATATTGTTTTCCGGTTTTAGGCTCATTTTGAAGGTTCAAGAACTGCGCATGTAAAGAACCCAAAGTCATGTTTGTTCATGACAGCCATTGAAGCAGGAACACTTCTGGGAATTTCCACACGACTGAGTTGTGTAGATACTGTCGATAGTGAAGCTGCTGTTCTATCCTCATCACTGCGAGACGATCTTCAACAATGCCAAAGCGAAAACAACCCAAAGGCTCCCTATTGCCCTCAATGACAAAGTAGAGAAGAAGAAAAAGAATATATTGTGCCTACCATGCAAAATGTATTTGCAACACAGGCAGTATCTCTTGCAGAGCCAACTCCAAGGAATAAAAAAATTGTGTTTTTCCTACACAGTGCCCACGGTGACTAGACAATACTCTGTGTGTGAAGTCGAAGAAACAGTTTACACTGCTAAGCCAGTCACACGGCTTGATGGTGAACTTACGACCAACCATTTGCACAATGTAAGCCTCGTATTTATTTCCCTATGAACAGTTATGGCTTTGCTGGCTGCCATTGCATTTGTGCTTTGCTTTTGCTGTAAGGCTTTGCTTTCTGTGCATTTTACCGGCATGTCTCATTCTTGAACAGGCAGAACACCAAAACATAATCAGAAAAAGTTTGGCACTAAACTGAGATATTAAAGAAATATATGAAAAAGGCATTTGCAGTCACTCACATATCTTTCTTGATTTCTTCATCATCAAACTTCCTGCCAATGAGTCGCTTAGTTGCATAAAAAGTATTAGCAGTGTTGGTCACGCCTTGACGTTTGGCTTGGATGCCAACAAGCCTCTCACCATCTGCAAACATGAAAAGATATTTAGATATTTAAATTAATGATTAAAATTAAATTAATCAAGCCACAATATATACAAGTTCCATTTCTAAAAAGAATTTTAACTTTACATAATAATGCAGCCAATTCATAATAAGGCTTAACAATGAGAAATAATGGTATAGTTTAATTGAAAGTGGCCATACACAATTTTCTTTCAGTAATCCATAAACATACCAAATTGATACGAAGTAAAATTCAGTAGCTTATTCAAAGTGGTGTAAAAATTTACAACATTCAGACAATGATGACGGTGCAAATGAGTTTGTAGGACGATGCAAAGGAATTCTCACACATATAAAAATATTAAACCAGGGATAATACAGCCACGAATTATGCAATAGAATGCTAGGTATCTGAATATTACCTTTGGTGAAGGCTACAATTGAAGGAGTTGTGCGGTCGCCCTCTGCGTTGGTGATCACTTTGGCCTGCTTGCCCTCCATGACAGCAACACACGAGTTTGTTGTGCCCAAGTCAATTCCTACAACTGCTCCTTTCACTTGATCTGACCTAAGTGCATCAAAATATTATTTACACAAACATTCTATAGCCCATGTTATAAATTAAATGAGATTTACATTTATTTCAGAAGCCAATAATAATGTAAGTAACAGTAACAGTTGCATTGCAGAGATAACATCCATTTTATAATGACATTGATAGAATCTTTTACAAAATCAATATATTGAAAAACATGAAAATTGAACAGTCACTGAATCATCTCAGCAACAAAACTAATCAAACGATTCATCTCATTTTCCAACTTACTTAAATCGCCTCTGGAGCGTCTCAGCATGCTGCATCCAACCAATTGAAGTAGCAGCAACTCCATACTGTCATTTAAAAATGAAGATTATTAAAACAAAGTAGCAGGTAACAATGGGTCAGATATTTTCCTGGATTACAGAATCTTTAATATTACAAGATAATCTTTCACCTTTACACAATTTTACAAGCTAACAGCAACATAAATGTAAACTTATCTTGATAATTGCATCAAATCTTAATATGATATTTTACTGAATAAATAATTGACATGCTTATAAAGCAATAACAGTAAAGCTTCACATTACACAAAAAAGCAATATTAGCTAGGCCTGATCCTCCATTGTCAATCACAAGGTAGAAACAAACGAGGAAGGATTTGCTTTTGTTTGTACTCAAAAGTTTACTGGTTTTAATATCATCATGCTCTAACTGGGGATGTAAAAATTGTTTAAATAATATGGAGAGGGACTGTTTTATTACCAAACTTAGCTTGCAATGGACTAGAAAGTTTTTTAAGGATGACACACCCACAAGACCAGTTGCCTTTCAACCTGTGTTTTTCTTTTTTATCCCATGCCAAACAAGGCTGGTTTTGTTATTATGCTAACAAATATGTGGTTGATATTTTCCTTTTGTCATTTGTTACTCAGATGCATTCCAATTGCAGATACCACAAATGATAAGTGATTGTTTGTTTTTGCATGAAAGTTTTGTTTCGCATCTGGAGTAACATAAGAATAGCTCCTTTCCTTGTTATTAATGTTTTTTTTTACTGTATTCAGTTCTTTAAGGACCACTTGTATTCAGATTTATAAGGATCTTTGAAGTTCTTGAAATAATTTCAGGTTTAAATTTTAAACTGTATCTATGATACCCTTTGTGCGTATTTAGGTCATTTCAAATTTCAAGTGTTGTAAAACTCTTCACCTACTTGAGAATGAATATTGAATATTAAAGATGTCACATTAAAACAAAATGTAATTTTGTAACCTGCTTTTCCATCTTTTAGCACCAGCAAGAAATCTTGTTTAGCTTATTGAAAAAAAAAAATAAGAAAATTATTAATAAAAAGCATACTCATATCTTCAATTTATATTTTATACTTAAATGCTTTTGTGAAAAAGGGATAGTAGCTATTTTGCTTCCATTTACCACAAGATTGGCCTTTTCCTACTTATTACTAAAATCTTGCAGTCCAATTGTGCACTTTTATTAACAAATTAGATTGGAGGTTATTCATCAAGCTGGAATCTTGAGGTTCCAAAATTGTGGGAAAGCTCCTAGCCACAGCTTGAAAGGTCATGACACCATGCCTGACGTCATGGTAATATTTTATTAGTAAATAATTAATACACCTGGTAAACCAGCATTTCATGTCTGGTTTACCACAAATATTTGATGTGAGCAAGATGAAATCCAAGCGAAAGCATGTTAGACTGTAAAAATAAAAAAATTAGCTTCAGTAGCAGTCACTAGAAGTTTAGTGTCATTTGTGGAGCTGCAAGATTTCTGCTAGAACAACAACGTTTTTCTCACAAATCTTAAAACAATCTCACTCTTATGCCCAAACACTTCAAATCAACTATTTGGTCATTTTGAAGACTCCATTGATTACAAAAGTCTACTTTTTACAAATGTCTTCATTCATGAAATGTTTCCAAAATAATAGTGAAATTTTCATCCACATACATAAAAGGGATTAATAAATTACCTACCAAATCCATTTATTGGGATTTAATTTGAAATCAATGGGCAACAATGAAATTGTTCTATGAATGATTAACGTAACCTCATACGTTGGGCATTTAAATTACAAATACCTCAGGTCATGTCTACTCATCTAGGTGCAGTAACAATAAATTGGGATCAATTTGGGAAACATTTATAGATGTTTTTGATATTCCCAACTGTTCAATAATTTTTGCACAAGATATATGCAACTTATCAATATTCTTTATCTGTAAAATTGTGTATTTTAAAAACTTTAATACAATTTTTTGCATTAAAATTCTGAAAGCATCACCACTAGTAAATTTTAATATCACCTTAATTTTAATAACATCTAATTTTTATTAATAGTACATACATGCCCAAGTTCTCAAAATCCTGCCTCTCTGATTCATCAAAATACAGTAATTCTGTCTATAAACAGCAATTACTTTCTAAAAGACACAAGACATTCAATTTTTTGTTCAAAAACTCGTGATGGGAGAAAAATCATTCTGAGTGTTAAACTAAGTCAGCAAGAAAATATCAACAAAATTTTGCAAAAACCTGAAAACTTCATACCTGGATGTGTATAAAGTTCAAATTAGAATAATTTTTTTAATTAATCTGGCCACACTAATCATTTAAATCTGTAGATCAGATCTATTTTTTTGGAAATAAAATTTGACATTACCCAAACAAGTAGGCCTAGTGGGACATCTTTACTATTTCTTTAGGCCTATTCACTGCCATTACGATGCAGCATGTGCAACATGCCATAAAGTGATTGAAATTAGGCTTAGGCTGAAATCTCATTACTTAGTATGGTGCCAAATATTTTGTTGGTAATATTGAAATTGTAAGATGTTCTAGAATAGCCTAGTTGACATATTTTTTTTTATTCTAGAACATATGAATTGTAAAAAAATATTTAGAAAAACTTTAAAAAAAACAAGTTTTTCTTGTGGACTAAAAAATAGAAAATAAATCATGGCTTGCCCCAAAAAAACGTGTGTCGGGCAGATTAATGATTAAAGCGAAAAGCACACAACACACGAATTTTGGAAATTTGATGGTGGACGTACAGCCCGACCCACGTTTTTTGGGGCGAACCATAATTTATTTTCTACTTTTTAGTCCACAAGAAAAACGTGTTTTTTTAAAAAGGTTTTTTTAAGTATTTTATTTTCTACTTTTTAGTCCACAAGAAAAACGATTAAGACTTGCTTAAGTATGACTTGACATACGTAGTTGTCAATGTTGACAACAAACAAACAAACGCGAAGCTGAGTTAAGAAAAACGTGTTAAATAAGGTGAAAGGATTAAGTAAAAATGCCCCATCCTGGCTTAATTCTTAGCTCGGCATTCCAGTTCTATCCTTCCGACTCGTCCTACCAAGCTAGAATTATTCCAGCTTGGCTAATGGCAGAATTCAAGCAGGATCAGCGCTTCAGCGGGGCTAATGGCAGAATTCAAGCAGGATCAGCGGATCAGTGCCATCAGGCTTCAGGCATAGGCCTGGAATTAGTTTAGGGTCGTTTCTTACCTAGTCTCAATCGTCTTTTGATACACAGACGCAATCTTCTGTTATATCAGATCAGACTATCATTTATTTCTTGTCTCTGGACGGTGGACATGAACCGCGTCGCAGCGTCAGACCGATTTAGCTAAGCACGGACATTTTTCTCAATCAGGCCGAGGCAGCTTTTCAGCTACTAAGTGCCAATTATTTGTCATCGGAATTTTCGATCATATTTGTCTGCTAGTGCTACACCCCTAACTCAATTCACTGCAAGCTCATCAGTCGTCAGTCACATTCGCCTAGATAGTTATGTAACTTGAAGCGCAAAAATGCCGGTGCCGGGTTGTGCGTAAATCTGGCCCAGAATTCATCAAAATGGATTCAGATTATACAGCATTTTTTGCTTACCTGATTAAGTAAGTTGAAGTGATTTGGCTTCGACACCACCACATTTGCTTTTGAGGCAACGGTTGCTAGCCTGGACAACATTTTGCCGATAGAACACAAATAACGAGCCTCACAGCACACGTGAGTCTGATGCCAGATAGTTCTAGAAGACAAATCTTCGAGCTAAGTGAATGGTTCTTACGAAATTGTCAGTAGTCTGATGCAAGAGTTTCGGAGATAAAAACGCCAGATTTATGAAATATTTCAATATAATAGCGAAATTACCTTTGGATATATAATGAATAATTTATCAATATAATGGAATAATGTTACCAAATTATTTTAATTCCTTATTTTTACACAAGAATTAGCGTGAAATTGCACGAAAAACAAGAAAATTTTATGCATTTAAAAATCAAATAGGACCATTGTCGTTTTAATTTGTCAAACTCAATAAATGCTCAGTATTGCAGTATTTTTAAAATACACAAAAAATTATTATGAGCACAAGGGTCCTTGTTAAGCATGTTCAGAAACGAGCATTAGCAAAAATATTGACGAGAACAAACACAAAACTATAACTTGTAATAAGAAGCCTGAAAAAAAATTCGTTCAAAGTCACAACAATAAATACTTTTGCAAGATTGATCAATAGAAATGTACAAATCGTATATAAGGACCTCGACAGCACCGAACGACTTTCTTATCATCCGATTTAAAAATCTAGTCTAGCATGAACAGAGCACAAAAACATTTTTTTGACGCTATATACAAGAATGTATAAGAAATTCTGAGATGGAATTGTACAATTGAAGCATATTAGAGTAAAAAGATCAATGATGAAAACTCTGATTAGCTCTAAATATAATAAATAATGCTTTGGAAAGCCACAGTGAAAATTTTTGTATGGTACATTTGTGAGATGGAATAGGTAAAGAATCATAATTCCTGGTGTAGGCTAGAGGCCTTAGCAGATTTTTTCAATGGAAAGGCCCAGAAAGAGTAGGGCAATCCATGTACGTCCCTCTCCCTGACCACGAACGCACTGAAGGATGAAATGCAGTTGCCAATGAAATGATTGGCTCTGCCCAGTACTGCGAGATCAACGTGTGGACCAGCACCATCGCTGTGCAGAACTTTTACCTGCAATTAAATTATCAAACTATAGATAACATTAGAATTTTATCATTACTTTCTTCATAATGTTTGTCGAAAAATCTTGAAATAAAGTTACATTTTGTAGAATCATTGCATTGTCCAATTATACATTTTCCAACATTTTGTAGAATCACTGTGTAAAATTTACATAAGTTACAGAAAAAGTAGACTACCGGTATTGCATTTCTTGTCGGTTATCCGACACATTAATGTCGTGCACAAGTAAGTGAATTTAAGTAGTCGAACTTGAATAATTAAACTTTTCGAATATAGATGAAGGTTTTCATTTGCTCCCCTTGTGTTTTATGTGTACACTACGAAGTGTAATAATTACAATTATTGATAATGTTGTTATTACTGTACTTGAAACATTGCTTTTATTTCAATAGTGAAAGTTAAATACTTAAATTACAGCTGCTCTACCGGTAACCGGGAAAATTTATGCGACTGAGTTGTTAATCATGCATGATGAATCATTTAATTAATCATTATTCTGATGAGTCATTTAAAGGGTTTTTATGATTGTCTTAGTGTAGGGTTTAGCAAGCGAAAAAGGCTGTAATGAGTCAAGTGTCCATAAGTAGGGTCTCTTTGGATTGAAATAATCAATCATTGTCTCATAGTCAAAAACTTTACGGTTAAATGGCTTTTGATCAAAATATGAAGTTGAATAGCTCAGTTAATTAGTTGATACTTTTCAAACATTATTTCAGTTCACATGCTACAATGTGTTGCACTGAAGCCTAATCGTGATTAAGCACCTTAATAGTCTTACCAATAATCACACCTGAAAATAATTAAATATCTATAAACGATCCGAACGATAAATAATTCTTTCATGAACAAATCATGAACTTCGAAAAATTATATACTACAGTAGAAAATTCTAAAATAATATTAATAGGAGACCAAGTACTATTTTCAGATGAAAAGCATCTAAACAGACAAATCTATGTCACATAACGTAAAATTTGAACTATAATTAGTTTTAATGATCTGTCATTAATCAATAATGGCAAGGTGATGAGGACATGGTAAATGGGAGATGTTTACAATAACCTTGAGCTTGCTGAAGGCTTCAGTGAGCTGGTCCAGCATGTGGTCGTGGTCCGAGGCCACGAAGATGGCTGCATTCACTTTTTTAATAGCTCGTTTGATTTGCAACTATAATTAGTTTGAAGTATGTGTTATAAATGGCAAAGTTATGAGAACATGGAAGTAGGAGGAGGTTTGACAATAACCTTGAGCTTGCTGAAGGCTTCAGTGAGCTGGTCCATCATGTGGTCGTGGTCCGAGGCCACGAAGATGATGGACGCATTAACTTTTTTAATAGCTCGTTTGATTTGCTTGACGATGGTAGAGAAGGACGGCAGGCAGAGCTCGTGCGTGGCGCGGCCTCGCTCGTTGAGGTAGCCAAGGCACTGGGGAGCAGCGAACAGGTTGGGGCTCTGCTCCACGTGTTCGCATGCACGCTCCTGTCACGGAAAAACGTATTGTCAGTGATTATAACGCATATATATAACGTATTATACATTATTATAGTGTTTTATATTTATACATTATTCGCCAACACCAAGTATCGTGAAATATATCGTTGGAAGTCTAGCAAGACGAAATAACTAGAGAGTGTTACGCACTTTATTAATGCTGTTTTAAAATAAAAGAAGATGAAGTAATAAAATGTCGTCCCAAACTGTTCAGGCTTTCACCAATAATTAGAAATATTAACTTAGAAACTGTATTCTCAAGGCAGGGAGGTTCTTCACAAGAGCAACTTTGAACAAAAACCTTAACCAGAAAAAATTATTCAAAAAATTAGTAAAAGCCTAGAGGTTGAGGGGAATTGAAATGTCGGTAATCAATTCTAAGAAAATGCCACCGTAACATTAGCTTACCCAGTCTACTCCGTTTCTCAAGTGAATGCCGACAAAAGGACCTCTGGGGAAACTGTCGATTACGTTCTGAGCCTTGGCATCAATGTCGTCGCTCCAGACAAGGTACTCCTGCAGGGCTCGGTTCTGCTTCTGGACCGGGAACGAAGCAGGTGCTCCCGTGAACGCTAACACTGCACGAATGATTCTCTTACACGGGAGAAATAGTCCTGAACTCTATGAGGATTATAGTTCCATTAAAAAATTTTACCACATTAACAATTGCTTCATCAAAATGAAATTTTATCAAATGTGAAGTAATGACGCAGCTTTATGGATTTTTGTGACTTTCCAGCTATCATATGACGTTATGATTCCAGCAAATTTTATATCGTTATTGAAAAATCAAAGTAAATTTCAATTAATTTGATACGTATCTGATAAATCATCATAAACGTCTATACCTATCTTTTATAGCGCTTTTTGATAGAAAAGTTTGAAAAACAAATAAACATATATGAAGAAAAATACATACCAGGCCATTCATGGGGAGGATAATTTTTGGCCCAATCCAGAACAGTGCTGCCGTGGTGAACGTCGTACGTTAATGGACGGTAAAAAGATGAATTAACAAAGTTTACATCAAAGGTGTCCCAGAATGGCCCAAATGGACTTCCTTCCTTAGCGTTGCAGTCTTCAGATCCAAACCTTGGCATGTAGCACAAAACTGTAACAAAGGCAGTGGCAAGTCCTAAGTTTGGCATGTAGCACAGGACTGTAACAACGGCAGTGGAAAGTCCTAAGTTTGGCATGTAGCACAGGACTGTAACAACGGCAGTGGAAAGTCCTAAGTTTGGCATGTAGCACAGGACTGTAACAAAGGCAGTGGCAAGCCCAAACATTTGCATGACACAAAGCTTCAAGTAATACATCGTGTAGCATGTTTTTAATTGCCTGGGGTCTTACAATGAATGTTGATGCAAAACAAATCTCCAAGCAAGATAAGTACAGCGCTTTCCTCTATATATCAAATTTAAATTGAAAAGGTCACATTATATTTATTATAAAATATTCAAGAAATTATTGTATGTTCTGAAGCAAACTTCAGAAGAATACACAAGCTCAATATATATCTTACATGAAATCTAGTTCAATGCAGAACATAGTATCTTCAGAAAGAATAAAATATTGATGCGAAGTGCATTGAGAATCAAAGAAGTATTTCAAAACAAAGTAGAACATGAACCTGTTCTGGCTTCCTCAGGCCACACAGCTGGAGCAATGTCCTGCATGAAGTCTTCCATGGTCATCACCCGGTGGTACTCCTCCAGTGGGGACACTTGGAAATAATTCTTGAAAGGAACTTGAATCTGACAAAATAAAAAATTATAATGAACTAAAATATCTGGTAATCTTGGCAATTATACGTTAAATAAAAAATTAGTATTAAAATTTAAATTATTCTTAATCACACACAAGAAACATGGATTGAACTAAGTAACTCATTGTCACAAAAAACAAAAAAATATATAACTCAGTAATCACTGCAGTGAGTGACAGAGTGCATTTTCTTGTCGACAAAAACTTGAGGTCATGGACAGACAGACAGACAGACAGACGGACGGACAGACAGACAGACGGACATGGCTAGCGCAATAGTGCATTTTCTTGTCGACAAAAACTTGAGGTCATGGACAGACTGACAGACAGACAGACGGACGGACAGACAGACAGACGGACATGGCTAGCGCAATAGTGCATTTTTTCCATAAATGAGAAAATGCGCTAAAAATGGCTCTGGCAAGGTAATGAACATAAAGTCATTGAACTTTGAATAAAAATGCACACACAAGTAAAGAAATGGAATATTTCATTCTGGGGAAAACTACCTACACAAAAACAATGCATCTAATGGATGAAATACGAAGAAGCAACAACTAAAAACCTACTTTTATGAACAATGGTTAGCCTAGATATTATTAGCAAGTATCTTTACAATTCATATAATGTTCTAGTCAATAGTTTCCTTAATAGGTTAATTGAGGTAACCAGAACCATAGTAATGACTGTAGTTTTAGAATTTTTTAAAGATACCTTGCATGTCAGTTGTATACTTGTACAATTCCCATTGATTAATCTTTTTCATGCTAACCTTCATTACCAATTATGTTAGCTACTAATATGGTACTACTACCTCAATAACCAGTAATTCATACTCAATATGTCATGGCTCTTGTGATGGCAAGTCAAGTGATCATTCTTGCCATGCATCTCTCTCTTATTATTTCATATACACAATTCACAGTTTGTATCTCTGAATATTATACTAGATACTTGCATGTAATAAGGTAAAAAGCATAGGACTGTCTGATTGGAATTTTATTCTTGGTTCTTGTATTTTTGTAAAGCAGTCTTAACAGGCTAAAAAATTCCTCTATTATATTCTGTTTCATAAACTTGCTATTCTACAAACTTCTACTACAGCTGCCAAGCCAACTCTCAATTTCTAGAATAGCACAACCCTCCACACTACCAGGATGCACTTGAAATTATATCAACCTGCCTATCATACACAATATCAACTTAGCAAAACAGTTTTATCATTAAATTTTAATTTCAGCTACAGGGTTTAGTAGTTTATGACTTACTGAAGTTGGTCTTCCATACTGATACTCCACCCAAGGAGGCAGCACTAATGTTCGGTCCAGTCCTTTTGAAAATGCTAGAACGCCAAGAAAATGGTCAGCCTGGTTGCCAAATCGACCTGAAGAACAGACCAGTTTATACTCATGAGTAATTTATAAGGAAACATATATTTCTTAGGTGAATTTTTCATCAAATTCAAAATAATTGTACACATGCATTGTGTGAAATAATTTAGATTAAATGAGTAACAGAAGATATAAATGTTTAGAAAGATGTCCCAACTAGGATAATTTGTTTATATTGTTCAAAGATATATTGTTTTCAACAGTTCAGTTTCCATCACTACCAGAAATTTTCAATCATGTAGTAGTATTGCACTCATCTCAAATGCCTTTAGACAAAATTGAATTTTATAATTTAGAAATATATTAGTATTTAGGATATCTTCCTATTTCTAGTTAGTCATAAAAAATAAAGGTTTTCCAGAATACAAAAATTTTCCTTTAAAGGACATAAATTGGACATTTCAATTGTCACAACTGTCTAAGTTAGGAAAAACCAATAATTTTCTAAAATAACATGGCTCTTTATTATGGTGTGAACAAAATCATGCAGCTCTTAAGTTATGTATTATGGTTTGAGTGGGAAGATTGCAGCTTATATATACCATATATATGACATTCCAGGACATTTTAAACTACCACAGTTGAGTAGAATGCTCCTGCCATAATATCCTGTAGAGTAACTGCACCCAAAATATTTTGTTGATCTCGTAGTAGCACTTATGCCAGACTGTGAATGAGATTGCACCTGCAGTTAAAAATGGCTTCACAAGGCGTCAAATGAACCAAAAAGGCCCAAGCTCTCAAACAATTTCACACTACCATTGACTTTGCCTAATTTCTATTGTGAAAATCAACAGAAGCCTTAATTTTTTACCAGTGAATTTTAAAAACAATATATACATGAAATAATTATTTTTATCAGTGGTTATAGGAAAATTCTGCAAATATTCTAGATTAATGCTTCAGAATCTAGATCTAGTGTGAAAAACCTCTACTCTCCAAGCTGTGACTGGATTTTTGGTCACAAGAAACTAGCAATTTTTGAGCCTTGAGAGTTGCTAAATACCTTATACATATATTGTCATCTGGTTCTAAAATCTTAATCTTAGTGGCTGAATCATATTTGAAGATGAAAGGAAGATATGGTAAATTATGCACTTAAGATCTTGATCACTTTTTAAAATAATATTTTCTAATTTTGAAATTAAAAACTTGGTTGGGAAATAGGAACACAGGCCAGGGTGCAAAGAGTGAGCAAATATTCCTAGATATTTGGCCACCAGAGTAGAGAATAGGTGAATATTTGTCAGATATTAGGCAACACAGCATCATTGATGACTTTGATGTCAGCACTCAAGAGCAAAATCTATGTATTCAGAACATATTGCCAACTTATTTCTCTTCAAAAACGTACTCAAATGTATTTTTTGCAACAAATCTTTATGATTTAGTTAGCTCTGGCAAGCAAGTCTTCAATAATACTGGCAAAATTTAAGCAGGCATGGAATATATCTACCGTCAAATGGGGTAATATGGGACAGGCGGGGTAATAAGGAACAGTCCTCCGACATACTGTACTGTAATTGGAGAAATGTTGTAGCAGCTAAACCAATTAAATATTGCAAAACAAAAAATGGTGGCATAAAGTTCAACATTTTTCCTATCTATGTAGCATGAAGCAAGTCAAGAAATCATACATTTACTTCCTCTGAAAAATTATTGAAAAAAAGTGTGAAAAGTGAGATTTTGGAAAAGTACCTCTGCTAAGGTCAGTAGCCAAAAAATATTCACCATATTAAAAAATTTTACTTACATAAAAGTTGCACACAGGTGTTGGCTTAAAAATGGGATTGACAGTTTTAGCATATCTCATTCCAGAAAAAAATGGTGGCCATTTCTGCACAACAGGTAATAAGGGACACCCCCCCAAGATAATAAGGGACACCCCTAAAATTGCATTTACAGTAGAGCCTTGGTTAGCAAAGGCACCAGTTAACAAACAAAATTAATTAAAAAAAAAAGAATTTTGATTAGATTTATCTTGCTCAGCGGAAAAATTTCACTCGACAAAAAATTACTGCATCATTGGTCATTGCCAAACTGTGCATAGAATGTCATAGATAATTGTTTGTTGGGCAACATAAAATGAAAAGTAACTAACCTAAACTATGCTTTTTTTCTCAAAAAATATGATGGTTGTCACTAAAATATTTCTTTGTGTTTCAGGTATGTTTTTTACAATCTTTTATTGTTATAGTGAATTCACTTGACTCAATTGAAATGGTGCAAAATTACAAGCCGTCCTGTAAGAGTACCTACAGAAGAAATGCTACATGGCTCATGATGGCTGCTGATATGAAGCTTGCAGTGGACAAGGTTGTTGTCAATGCTCAATGGCATGACTATGGATTAGGTAATATCACATCAATAATTTGGTAATGTATGGATAAAGTAATATTATATCAATGAACGAAAAACAAGTAAAAATCACAGAAAATGCCATTTATTCTAATTTATACATTTACATCATCTACAAAGGAAGAAAAGGACTTGGGATGAGCACACTCTTGACTCTGCAGTCTGCATGCTTCAAACATTTTAAAATTGAGTTTTATTTCAAGTGTCCCTTATTACCTCATTCCCAGGGCAGGCATGGAATATATCTACTTGGCAAGTCGCGACTGAATTTTTTGAGCCGTGATTTTATGGATTTGCCAGCCGTGATTCCATTATTTCCTGCCATTTTTGGAGCTGCAAGATTCCTGCTGGCTTAATACATTCTCTAATGATATAAAAGCAAAGGAAACAAAAATTTACCATATAATTATTAAAAACATACAAAATTTTTACTTGTTAGGATTTAGGAACACTATTGGCATTGCTGATGCTTAGCTATACATAGCTACTACCTAGTACATAGAACATACTGCAACACTGCAACAGTACAACTTAGACATAGTGCCATAGACAGTGAATAAATAAATTAATAAATAATAATCATGGTGGGATTCAGGATGAAATATAACATAGTAACTGCAATTAATTTTAATAATTATTGCTAAGATCATTTAACTTCCAACAGACTAATCTATTATAAACCTAATAGAATACATACAAGACAATTTGAATGCTATGAATGTCATTTTTTCATTAATAATATTTTGTTTTAAACTAAAACTTATAGAGCAAAATATTAACAATTAACACATTCGGTTTGACTAAAAGTATCCATAAAATTATGAGTAATCATAATGTTCTTGACTTACCCATGCAAGGGCAATATAAAATGTAACCATTTTTGTCAATTTCTAAAGCGGTTACATAAGATAATATTACCAATGCAAAAATCAACGGTCTATTGTTGGCCATTTCTGGATTTAATATATACTTTTCAATTATACTGTTAGAGAATGTGTCATCTCGTCCATTGGTACCCAATAAATTTCTAAAAACCCGCGCCGGTTACGAGGCTATGAGCCAATCAGGCTGTTAGACTTTGTTTACATTATGAGCCAATCAGCTGTTAGACTTTGTTTACATTCCCTATCTATCGCTAACTTCACAAAAAAATTGTTCGGCTTCCACAGTCGGAAAATGTTTTTGTTCCTGACTTTGAAAATTAACTAAAAATATTTATTTTTAAGACTGATAAAAATTAAAAGAAAGTAAACACGTTTTACTGCTCTCGCATGTGAGCTGCATTTAAATCTTGTCAATAAAAATTGGATTTCAGAGCTATGGTTGATCAATCTCAATATTGAAAGCAGTGTCTATGATAAAAAATAAGGGTTATTTTTCTGAATTCAATCCACCCAATTGGGAGCTCTTCAAGGTTTACCCAACGAATGAAAATTTTTTTAATTTGCTCGTACTTAGAGAGCTGCAACGCTGTCATGTAAATGAAGGGCAATAATGTCACTGCAGTAGTTGTCGGCATTGATCAGGCTAAATCTCGCCCGACGCCAACTCTAGACATCGCATTAATCTTGCAGCTTGTCAGAGCCTTGCGCCTGCAACTCACAGCTCAAATTTTGTTGTCTTACCACCCAAAATCCTAACGATTTTAAAGTAAACCATATCTATGTTCGAACTCGCAACTCACTACCTTAACATTGATACTCTAAACTTGAATAAAACTCGATCACCCCTGTTCAAGGTTCACTAGAACCGTGAATGTAATTTATATGAGATAGGTTAAATAATACATGTATATTGTATAATTGATATACTGTTCCACGTAGAACGCGCTACAAGCAGAAGCTTCGCAAACAATAAGTGAATAATGACTAATCAACAACAAAAAAGTAATAATAGCACGACTCAACTCTCTTAAATCGTAAGTATTTTATAGTGATAAGAGAATGAGATTTGTGGTACTATGAAACGCAGTACGATTAACATTTGTGACGAGACCTTTGGTTAGCTTCCGAGTCTAGAAAGTACTGTGACCGACGTATGATGGATCATTGCTGAATATGAACCGTAAATTTAATTTCAATAAAGGTTAGGAACTAAACGTGCAGGAACTAGAGAAAAAGTGGAATTATATGATTGAAATTAGATAAGTCATATCTATTTCTAAAAAGTTCAGGGAGCAGGCAATGCGCGGACGCGCACAATGACATGCAACAGACACCGGTCTCACAACTTGCACATAGCAGTGGAAATTCCGGTACTATTTCGTTCTTCGGAATAGTTCAGCACGAAAATGATATATATTAGACAATATATAAATAAAATAATATGATCATACGAATAAAAAGCTGGAAATATGATATAGGTAATGTCTGACGTGGCCCCCGAATTAAACATAGACTGTTAAGTAGTGAGTAAAGGGAGCTCAGATGAAGTACGGTCGTGTATTCGTGGCATTGAAGCGAACGTGTTACAACTACCGAACCATACAGGATAGCGGGGTAGGCAAACATTGACCATACTAAACGAAAAATTGACATAAAAGATCTAGATCCATAAATTGAGATATGATACATAAAACGGTAATAAGTAAGTACTCCGGAAGCTTTCATTCAGATAAATAAGAAATGAAAGAAGGCGCGTAAATGCAATAAATAAAATAATAATAATAAACACTAACTGTAACGTACAGGTAATACCACAGTAATGAGATTAGTGTAGAGTGGTAAATGCTACGCAGATAAACGAATACGTCGCTTATGAGACGTACCGATGAAATAAACTCTTAATCCAAGGGGAATAATCGAGTTCAATTAGTATTGATTGCGAATGCTTGATACTTTGTGACACAGGAGTGCATTCATAATCTCTGATGCATAAAGCGGTGCAGTCGATATTATTTCTAGAGTATATTTTTTGCTAGCATGGCTGCTGCTATACTACACAACGTATAAGCAGCATAGCGACGATGGTGTGCAAGACACTTGACTGACAACCGACCAGATGAAGCGGGAATATTCTTATGACATGAATCAGTACAAAAAGAACAATTCTCTTTCGTTATGATAGCAAAAATTAGGATAAGCTATTTGAATGCATTGAATTAAGTATAACATCATATTGAGACAGAGTACGATTATGAATACATTGGCACTTGAAAGGAACAAACAAAAAATCTGAATTCACGACAACAATCAACAACAACGTAAACAATGACACCTTGAAGGAACCTAAGAGTACTGCAGCTTACTTAAAATGTAAGCTCTCATGGACGTCATGCCAGACGACGTAAAATTTACAAAATTGCAATACTCAAACGGGTGAGGAATGTCTACAGGAATGACAGTTGACATAAAAATGCATCGTTGGACACTATGCGTTACTAAAACAAGTGGGAGTACACATTCAATGTGAATATCAAATAAAATTATCAAAAAAGGCTTTGTGGATGCCCAAGAATTAATAAATATAATGAAGTACGAGCACAATTGTGCAAGACAGAAGGATGTGACGACAAGTTACGTGACAATCTGGTTACGTGTTAGCAAACATTTGATGACGTATTGGAAAAAAAATAATAAAGATTTAGGTCAACTGACAGACATACTACACACAGGAAAATAACAGGGTTACCCTTATCATTTGCGCAGGGGATGTAGCTGTGCGACGTACTATTACCAGCCATACAAACCAGGCATGCAGATTGGATGCTCCAGTTTTATGACAGCAAAGCATGAATGAAAAAAGGAGCACTTGTGAAGAGACCTTTGTTTGAAACACAATTCTGTTTATTTTATGTTAACCTTACTCGATTTCTCAGCTGTGTAAGTTTTAAACCCTTCCAGTCACCAAGTTCCTGCTCATTCAACATACAATTACAGTAGAGGTCTGATAACTGGTCCCTAATACTGTATAAAATTTTGAATTTATATGGAATTTCTAGAGATGCTGGATTTCATTGATTTGTCTGTACATCTCTCCTCCGAGTCCTAAATTCAAGCAAGGGAAAACGCAATTTTGCTTTCTTAAATCACGCAATGCCAAGGGCTCAAGTTGTCCAGAAAACACGGAATAGCTCCCGATAACGTGACATTTTTCTGATTGTATTTACTGCTTCCATGATGAAACGACAGCGTCTTCATTCTACGAAAAGCACTCTTGAACCGACAAGATTATTATTTATGAAAGTAAACCATTTATCATACACCACGCATTCCTCTAACCTTCAATAATTTTACAGTACGACACTAAACCGCCAAAGCGACTGCACACGCGACGCTCAGATCGTGTAGAGATAACTCGGCGTTACCGAATTGCATTTCAAGTACAGCCTCGGACGACCGCGCTTAACATAATTCGTAATGAATTATTACTCTTTCCTGTTGGGCTGTGAAGACCCAGAATCGATAGAGGCACTCCTGACGTGAGGCTGGGCAGCTGAGGCGAGCTGAGTGGGGCTGAGAGGGCGCGAGGAAGATGCCGAGGTCCTCTCTTTGAGACCAGAAATTGAAGTCAATGTTTTCTGCAACCATGTCCCTCGCTGGCCTTGTAGCTCCGAAATGGCTGAGTTCAGTTGATGGGTCACGTCCTGGTCGATCAATATATTATTATACATCTTTGTATAAAAATATTTAAGCATTAACTGAGTGTCTTATTGGTTTTCTTCTGTTCAGGGCATAAATCGATTGTACGCCAATGCAAAATTCGGCACTGCACCAGGATGTAAGTTAATGGACAGAAAACTGTCTCTTTCGGTGCTATTTTAGAAGAAGAAAATACCATTTCTCAAGGAACGGTCTTAAAAATAACTTGCTATTGGCCATCAACAATTTAAATATCTACTATTAAAATATAAGCTTCTAAAATTACAACTTTTCAATACAACTTCTTATTTTTCCTCACAAAACCAGTTACCTGGTTCTTGCACTGCGTCTCGACCAGAGCGAGCTTGGTCTGCGCGAGTTCAAGTTCAAGTTCCCGCACTTGACTGCCCAGGGCGTTGAGCTGCTCACGGGACCCGGTCGGGGCTTCGTCAGGAGCGTTGCAGGAGGCGCTGCCGACACCCACGACCGGAGCGCTCAGGACACTGCGACACTTGCAGTCGCTTGCCTTGCAGTCTCTTATGAGGCTCTGTGTGCGAAAATGTACAATATTTCCGTATTGTCCTTATCAACAATATCTGCATAAAGTGAATCTTGGTGTAGTTTGGCACAAGTTTTTCTTTAATGCAAGTTTCGTTGAAGACCAGGGTGTATTTCTTATTGACAATTTTCTTATTGTTTTTCTCTATTCGGCGAATTAGGCTCTAGATAGGAATCAAGATTTCTATCAAGAGCCTAATTCGCCGAATAGGAGTTCGCCGAGATAGGAATCAAGATTCCTATCAAGAGCCTAATTCGCCGAATAGAGAAAAACAATAAGAAAATTATCAATAAGAAATACTCTTATTGACAATTTTCTTATTGCTCTACTACTCTAGCATTAAGAAAATTGTTAATAAGAAATACTCCCCGGTCTTCAATGAAACTTGCATTAAAGCGAATCTTGTAAACATATGATGACATTAATTTAATTATTTAATTTAGCGATAACTAACACTGCTCACCTCACCACTGTCGTAAAATTATTAAATTAAGAAGTTTCAACTAAAGCCAATTCAATTGTTTTTGGTATCTATTTTACTAACACTGGCACTTTTTACATGAGATTTTAGGTCGACTGCAAGTGACAGCAATCAAACACCGTGGGCCGAATAATCAAACTTGATAGCTTGCACTCCGACTCAACGCGGCGCTCGTCTCAGGATTTGCAATGATAATAATAATATAATAGAACATATTCCAATAATATAAAAGAGGATTTCTATTATATTATATAACGTATTTTATTATTACTTATAAAATAATAAAATTTTATATTTTATTATTTATATTTATTATTATTTTATTACTTTATAATAAGTCTAACAGCCATGAGGCAGCATTATAAATGACAGTGCCAGCGATCATCCATAATTGAAATCAAAAGTAACAAATAGTACACAAAGGTGACTAGGTTTCTACGTAAAATAACTTGTCAAGAATTACCAGGCTCAAGATTAAATAGAACATGAAAAAAAGACCGTTTTAATGTAACACGCTAATAAAGAGTTTCTTTCTAAGTTAATTGACTATGTATTTTTTATTTTATTATTTTTAACAAGCCTCGTAACAAGGTCCTGAATAGGACTCGCTGTACAGTGTGCGAGTACAGCTTGCTAACACAACTTAAAGGTCTACACAATTTCCAGTAGTCTAGTATTAAACCAAACAACATGGAAAAATGTAAAACCAGATGTAGTACAAAATAGTCGACGCGAAATATGTGCAATTAGCCTCAACATTCAACTAATTAAAAGGTTTCAATCCCAAATTCTTCCCTATTCAACTGCGGATGCAGACAACGTTTGAAGTTGAGAGTAATTTTAACTTTGCATTTTCTCATGCTTAATTCGTTAAATTCATCAATTAAATTTCCATCAATATAATTTCTTCCCTAATACTGCTAGATGGCAGTGCACTCAGAACTGCACCCTATTTAGCTAGATATTTTCCTTGGAATATTGAAAATGTTTGTCGCACTAAGCGGAGATGGGTGCGCATGTAACATAGGCGTGAAAGGAGTTATTAACGTGTCTGTCATAACTATAGCAACAACTGTTATAACTATAACAATAACTGTCATAACTATAATAATAACTGTCATAACTATAGCAATAACCGTCATAACTATAGCAATAACTGTCATAACTATAACAATAACCCTCATAACTATAGTAACAATAACTGTCATAACTATAACAATAACAGTCATAACTATAACAATAACCGACATAACTATAACAGTCATAAATATAACAATAATACAATAGACAATATTGTTTACCTTGATGTTCTCAATAGCAAGAAGGTGCTGGCAGCGTTCATTGTCAAGCCGCTGTGACAGCTGCGAGCAAATGTTCTTATATTCTGTGACTATGGCAGCGCTGCGCTGCTGCTCTTTGTCACTTCGCTCCACCTCCCGCTTCAGCATCTCCTTCACCTGCGCACCAGGATTGCCTTCCTTTACGATGTTATGTCATTTGCAAGACTAAGGTGAACACACTGGCTAAGAGAAATTTATTTCATGCCCCTCCAATGCCCATACAGAAATTCATGCCCATTTCATGCCAATACAGAAAGTCATACTCATTTCATGCCAATACAGAAATTTATTTCATGTATGGGTCTAAGATCCCATGACCCTCCCATGTTTAGTGACGAGAAGCTGCAGTGTACTCCACTGTTAACGATTGCAACAACGCCAAGAGAGACCTCAACTTCAAGCAGCAAAAGTATCCATATGATTAGCGGATAACTTCGAGCAAAATAAAAAAATATAGGTATATATTACTCAGTACTCACTGCAGTGAGTGACAGAGAGCGCATTTTCTCGTCGATGAAAACGTGAAGTCACGAACAGATGGACAGACAGACAGACGGACGGACATGACAAGCACAATAGCGCCTTTTCTCATTTATGGAAAAAATGCACTATTGTGCTCGCCATGTCCGTACGTCTGTCTGTCTGTCCGTCCGTGACTTCAAGTTTTCGTCCACGAGAAAATGCGCTCTCTGTAACTCACTGCAGTGAGTACTGAGTTATATTTTTTCCATAAATGAGAAAATGCGCTAAAAATCAGTAGCTAATTAGGAGATCAGGATCCGTTGATTAGAAACCTGTTATGCAAACTTGACGATCTCAAAAATTTTGAAAGTCCAACTACTGAAGTTTCCTGCTTCCCTCTTACTAAATCAAATATTGTTAATAGAACTCAAGAAAAAACTCGTTTTGAACATGAATTTAGATGAGCAGAAATCAATTTCGTGAACAACATTCAACAAACAACGTCGTTTGGCCAGTTTTAAAAGTATTAAATAAATAAACAATTTCTGCAGTTTGAGACGTGGAATTTTGATAATAAAATATACCTTGACGTCTTCATCACCAAACGCAGGTGATTCCGGCCTACACCACGCCTTCGCCTGACTCTGGCAGGACCTTCCCTCTATGAAGGTTAGTCATGAGATGATGTGGGTGAGTCAACGTCATCATGCATCACCTTCATTACCTGATACATAATTCAGAGAGAACCAAATTACCTGTGAAGCCTCCTGCATGAGGCGATTCTTCTCTTGCTCTGCTTCGGTGAGCGTCTGGCGTAGCGCTGCTGTCTCCTTGCCGGCACGGTCACAGATCTCCTCGAGCTGCGACAGAGCAAGCGGTCAAGTTCGGTCGCAAAACACGACCAAAATATATCATGAAACACTCTACAGACTTGTGATCTTAGCATATTGATGCCAAAAATAGTATAACCTATTTTTTCTGAAGATTGGCAATTAGCTTATTGATAAAAAACATTTACAAAACAATTAAATTTGGAATTAATATTTCAAGATTATCATTCAACTGCAAAACTGCAGTTGAATGCAGTTTTACAACTGCAATTTATTCAGCGTACACTCAACAGGAATTTTGGTCTGACATAGAACACAACTATTTTAATTTTGTACATGAAAATTAGTTATAGTCAATAACATGATGACAAATTTTGACAATACAAACCAAGATAGAAGAAATCATGGAGTAAGTTAAAATAAGTAAATTCTAGTCATTTCCATAAACAGAGTCATAAAACCGACTATCAGCTCTAAATACAAATCTTGAAATCGAATAAAAATATGCAACAAAACCCCGAGCGGAGCACTGCAGGCAGTAAAATGTTCCTATATACACAGAAAAAAATTGGATTGGCAAACGGCGAAAGTTTACATGGTCAATACGGCGGGCTAGAAGATCGTTCTCAGCGTCGAGACGCATACTCTCCTCGGTGAGACGCTTGTTTTCCTGCTCCAGGCGCTCAGCGACGCTCTCCCCACTCTCGCGCTCTGAGGACAGACCGGTCAATGACTACCTGGCTGCTAGTAGCCACATAAAACAAAAGAAGCACTAAACTGAGGCTGCGAGCTTTGAATAAAACCTACTTGCTAGTAACAAAGAGACCAATTAGAGGGCTAGCTGAGGCTGCAAGCTTACTATAAAACCAACCATTGATATCACACAGTCTATTAGTCAATTTCGAGATGATTCGCATAATTATTGTTTTCTTGTTATGAAGTTGGCTTTTGATGTTTATGGAAGAGTTGTAATGAACCTATTGACACAAACCTTGGATAAGCACGTATTCCCGCTCGTATTTCTCAAGCTTCTTAGTTTTGACGGAGTTGGCAATACGGAAAAGTTGGCGCACGGCATCTTCATTCCGGAACTTTTTAGGCAATGAAACCCGGAAAAATTTGAGAACATTTTCGAAGTCCTGGGAGACCAACTCCTTTCGGGACATCTGTGGAGAACACCCTCGAGTAATCAAGATGCACATGAAGATTTGGAATGAATTTTGGTAAGAAAACAGTCATGATGGCGTTGGGTAAGCTCGCCATGCATTAAGGCAACGAAACCTTCTCGATAGTTTTCATAGAATGACAAGTATTCATAGACAGAAATGACAAGAACATAGACAGAAATGACAAGTATTCAGCTTCAACATATGTGAGAAAAATGTGTCAGAATAACCCACCATGAGTAGCGCAATGGCCACTTGGAAAACTGAGTTGAAGCCAGTGAGGAGGAAGAGGTCGAGGTACCGGAAGACCATCAGCAGCGGGAACTTGGCAGTGAAGAGCGTGAGCAGCCATTGTGACGCGAACATGTGCACATCCACACCCAAGTTCACGAAGTGACAGTATACGTCATTCACGTTATCCTGCAATATTGTTAGTCTTGTACTACTTGTGAACGATTAATCACGCTCTACATTAAATGCCATTTGTTAGATACCATGGCAGATGATCAACGCTATGATCAACGCTCTAGATCATATTTGTGTTATTTCCTCGGTTGAAGTTGTTACCAATGTGTTTTATTGCAGTTGTGCATCATTATAATTTTCCCCGAAGTGTTCTATTCTGATAGGGATAATATGTGAGCTCAGTTCTTATCTAATGAGAATGAATTACAAAGGGATCACTTAAAGTGAAGTTTAACAAGCAAGTATTTTCAAAATTATGACAAGGTAAAGCATCTAATGAGAATGAGTTACAAAAAGAACATTTCCAGTGAAGTTTTACAAGTAATTATTTTCAAAATTATGACAAGGTAAAGCATCTAATGAGAATGAGTTACAAAGTGAACATTTACAATGAAGTTTTACAAGCAATTATTTTCAAAATTATGACAAGGTAAAGCAAAGTCTCTCCACCTCCATGAGACGCTCTAGTTGGTAGAATCGCAAGTGCAGAACTTTGAAGCCATCTTTGAATAGCTCCCTGAAGCCGTAGTCTGACATGATCTTCACCAGCAGACAAAAAGCTTGTTCTTCTGGCATCTGTTAACCAACATATTATTAGGCAAGTTTATTATAAATATGATAAATAACGAAATTATAATAATTAAATACCGAAATAATATCAGTAATAATAATTGACTTAATGACAAAAAAAGATGAAAGAAAAAAGGTGAAAAAGAGAGATGATTTACTTCTACTAATGAATGAAGAGATAAGCAAATATTAATCCAATTTAGACATGTAGAAAATGTTTTAGCATTATTTGCTTGGATGTTAAGAGATGCCTTAAAAGTGGGCCGTAGTTCAATGCTTTGAGCAATGAGTTGTCCCTTAATTTGTCGCTAGGCGAATTATTCATTAGCAACGGCATTCGTCATCACGCGTTTCACTGATTATAAACGTAAATTGTCTCTATGATACAAATAAGGGGAATATCTGGCATGGGCAGGGTGGGGGCAGAGTACCAAGATTAGCGCAGAGAGGCGCGGGTTCGATCCCACCTCTGTGCGCCAGTTTCTGGTCAGAATCGGCGAGGAGGCCGGACGGTTAAGCACAACAGAATTGTAGCAGCGAGTTACGAGTTCGAGACCGCAAAATCCTGTGAATGTTCTGCGATGTTAAGAATCGGCGACAGACCTACAGCCAAATAAACGCTGAAACCGCTATTATTATTATTATTAATAATGCATATAGAAAGGCGTTACATGGAGTAGCAGAGAGGCGGCCAGGAAAGAGAGGCCCTGGCAGTACGCAAGCTCCTCGTCGTACACGGCGTACGCGCGGCTGATCTTGTAGAGGGCGTCCTGACCTCCTCCCCCAGACTCCTTGAAGAACTCGTGCGCCGGGAAAGTCCTGTTGATGTCCCGCAGGATCACCTGGTCGCTTGGACAATCCTGAGTATAATGCAGATTTGGTCACATGGATTTCACAATTACCCAGTAATAGGATTTTTCATTCAAAAAAGTATCATTTGGTATTCATTCTCGCAGCTCATGAGTATTGTATTGATTTAATATTGTAGTATTGATCAATAATGAATGGTGGTATATTAGTCATCGTTTTCATTTCCAGCAGGAAAACTGACGTGTACAGAGGTGATAATTCTACAAGTTTGTTCTTTATAATAAGATCATTAAGATTTCAGTAACAACATATACCACGCAAAGCATAGCTATAATCGCAAACAACAAAAGGATTATCATGAAGCATAGCACACAGTATCGAGTAACATATTTAAAACACTCAAGCAAAAATGCAGCGATTCTAAACTTTTCTTTAGTAAAACAAAGCTGTCGCTAGTCCAGAACTAACAGTTCTTGGTCAGATATTTAAAAATAATCAGACCGGCACACACCTTGGTGAGAAGGATCCTGTATGTTTCCATCATGGAGTCATCATGCGCACATCCTGCCAGCAGCTGCCACACCTCCCCCCGTAGAGCTTCAGGCACGCCGCGCCTCACGAGCTTGGACAGGCCCTTAGGGAACTGATAGGGCGCAGCCTGCCAACGCGGCAGCACCTGAAAGAAAGGCATACTCGTCAAGCCTTAATGGCATCTTGAAGATGACACATTTAATCGAGGCTCAAATGGACTATCCATTCGGAAATCAGTGATATCAATAATAACTCAGGTGAATTTCCAGATGTTTTGCTGGCAAAACTCCACAAAAGCTGTAAACGTTACCATGTTGCACCCAAAAGGTACGTAATCAAACAACAAAGTTTTATACCAAAATAACTTGCATCACTGAAGGCCAGAAAATGCAACAGGGTATTTGATTTAACAATAATTTCTGAACTTTTATAATTTTATTCCAAGCATGGAGAGTACATCATCTAAAATGTTATATACCGATATTTTTTAAAAGCGCCCAAACTAAGCAGCCTGTGATTGTTACCATCCAGTGACCGCAGCAGCTGTTTTCCAGCTTGTGATTGGTGGGTTTAGCTTGAAAAGCCGTCAGTGATTGGCTGACGGAATTACAAACTCTAAAGTTTTTTTTTAAGTATGGCTCCAGGTGAGGACCTCAGCATTTGTGAATCAGGCATGCTGGACAACGTACCTCCTTCCACATGTCCAGCTCGCTCTGGGGGCAGTCTTTGGACACTTCGCCTGAGCCGCTCAACAAGGGCTCGTCATCGTCTGCTGAGAACAATACATTTGTTACCACAACAGCATTTACCTTCATTAGGATCTGAGTAGGCTTAATAATACTGGCTCCATTCAATTGAAGAACCACAAAATGCTCTGGAAATGTTGGGAATCTTATCTCACATCATCAGGCCATTTTTTGGCACACATCTTAATCGTCAAACTCATTTCAACCATAGAAGGAAGTGGTCACGAGACTCCACCTTGCATTCGACAAGTACTTTCCAGAGCTTCAGGAGAACCATATATCATAAGATATATCTTAATGAGTTAATGTCAATTTTTTATGCTAATTTTTAACTTGGGCTTAGCACAAATACTGAAAGCAACATAAACTAATTAATTTCCAGGGAAACTTCTAGCGCAATTAGCTTTGAAATTTTGCAATTTACTAGAAAGTGTATGCTTATGGCGACAGAAATTTGAGCATATACGGTATACACAATCTAGGAATACTTGAACCTAAAATTACACGTTACCAGGAAGCAGAAGCCCTGATACCAGGAAGCTGAAGCCCTGATACCAGGAAGCTGAAGCCCTGATACCGGGAAGCTGAAGCCCTGATACCAGGAAGCTGAAGCCCTGATACCAGGAAGCTGAAGCCCTGATACAAGATTGCCTACGTATATAATAATAATTCATAACTAATGAAAAAGAACGAGTAATACAATAAGACCATACCAGAGTCATCGCCAGCCGGCGTGTCAACACTGGAGATGCTGGGGGAGCGGGCGCCTCCTGACAGTAAACTGGACGCTGCGAAGTAGGGGAGGTTCAGGGGCAGCGAGAGGGACGGTCGCAGCCGCTCTACCTGTAGATAATAATGTTGATGGCAATTGGCGTACAAGGAAGAAGCTTGTAATCAACAAAAAATGGTTCCTGATACAGGCAAGAAGTAGATTATTTAAATAATAGTTATTGTGGTAACATTATTTATCTTACCACAATAGGTAACTTACAAGCTGCTCAAGTTTGGGGATTAAGTAATTTTATTTTCTGCTAAATAGTTGTCGGTTTCTTCAACTATCCAGCATTCAACAACTTAATAAAAATATATATGCATTCAAGTATCTAATACTTGACAAAAAAATACGCAAATAGAAGCAACATTTTGAAAGAATTCAATAAATACATAATGATTGTTACGTCATGGTGTAAGAACTTTCCCTTAAGCATAGAATAAATAAGAAACATCAATTTACCTCGCCCCGATTCTCAACATGAATCACTTCAAAATGCAGCTCATCCAGACTAGAGGTGGACGACGTGATTTCCACCTGAAGGCAGAACAAGCATTCACATTACAACCCACGTCAGAAGTGAACAGTAACAGATTAAATATCACACATCGCAAAATAATGATGAATACTACACTAAGAAGCATGCAACTCTCAAAGCACTATAGGTATAGCAGAGCTGTCTTTATTACGCAAAACATACACAGGTATATGCAAAGACATGGCACAACGGTCCTTACAATGAAGCTTTACTATTATTCCTAGACCCAGACAATTCAGAGAAAATAGTACATACAAATTTTGTAGAATTTGTTGTGTTAACACTACTCACAAGTCTCCATACATTCTCTAATAATTCTCATTAAAATACGACATAAACGGTAAATATAACGTGAAGAAGACATGAACAACGTAATAATTTAGGTTTAAGAACAGCCTTGCACACCTGTTTGAGTTCCAGAGCAAAGAGATGCGTGAGCGGCTTCTTGGTAGTCAAAACCTAAATAATCATTACTATGTCGAACATGAAATTAATAGGATTCTATATATTATTTTTAGGTATAAATTCCAACACATTGGTTTGAAGTTTCCACAATTATATGAGAACAGAGTAGTTGATAAGTAGTCGCTGTCTGCCACAAGCCTTGATAGTAGTATAAATTTCAAATTCAGTACCACTCACTAGACTTTCCTATTTCGGGGAAGATAATTTTCTAATTTTCCTTTCTCATTTTACTGCTTCAGGTTATCCGTTAATTGTTTGAAGGTTCTAGGCATGATAATCGGCAGCAATAAGACAATTAGCCACAAGAGCATCCCGTTGCTACAACACCAAAGTCGGAAGGCTTTCAGAACTGACCAACAATGTTACTCTCAAATAACCCTACCAAACGTTTGCTGACTCAGGTCATCATCATTTTATCGGGTATCAGGTGATATCAGGTATCTTTATAATAATTGTTATTGTCATACGACAAACTCGGTACTAATGCTACAATATCAAAGTCAGAAGGCTTTCAAAACTGGCCAACAATGTTAATATCAGATAACCATACCAAATGTTTGCTGACTCAGGTCATCATTATATCAGGTATCATTATAATAATTGTTATTGTTTTATGACAAACTCGGCCATATTAGAGATAAATGAGCAATAATGAGACTCACTCATGACTAGGTCAATGGCGACGGACATGAGAACTCGTCCGTCCTTGGGAGTTTCTTGGTTGAGAGAAGCAAAGACAGGATCCCGGGGGTCCCAGCGTCCTAGAGAACAACTCATTTTAGTGCCAGCAGAACAAACTCATCTTCTTAGGACTCTTAAGGCCACTATACTAATATGAGGTCAGTAATATAAACTCTGAGTATAGTTTATATTATGATGATTATATATTTTCTCTGATCATCTGTTGTTTCTACATTAATTTTAAAAAGGGCTGAAAAAAAGTTAAATAAAGAACTAAAGTAAAGTAAATAAAGAACTCAGGGTTGATCTGCCTCAGCAAATACTTGCAGATCAGCTATTGTAAACAAAGCTAATTTGTATAGACTGTAATACTTACATAATATTATGTATATTATGTATAATATAATGTATATTAGGTATAATATAATGTATATTATGTATAATACAATGTATATTATGTACAAAATACTATGTATGTAGTCATACAACAAAAGCGTTCTCACCAGCAACCTGGTAGACTTTGGTTTGTGCAAGCGACAAGGAGGAAGGGCCGCCGTTAGTGGAAGCGTTGGAAGCGCCGTGTGGAGCGCTGCCAGGTCCACCAGATGTAATCTTCACATTCATCATACACAAGAATTTAAATAAATAATTTTTAACTTAAAAATAAAATCCGGCATGACCACGTTCAAAAGTTTAGTATCAACTTCAATCGCGAGTTAAATGGTTTCTTAAATTTCTTAAAATTTCCTCGAAACATAATTTATATATAGTATAACAGGGAAAAGGTTTGATTTTACAAGCTTACTAGGTATTTGCTAACCCACGAGTGAACATCAATATTATATTGGAACCAAGAAGAATAAAAAATTGATTTACTGCGACCATTTCGAGGAGATTCATATCAGCATTCTTACTATTTGCTAACCTACTAGTGAACATCAATATTATATTGGAATCAAAACAATAAAAAAAATTGAGTTACCGCGACCATTTCAAGGAGGTTCATATCAGCAAGCTTACTATTTGCTAACTCACTAGTGAACATCAATATTATATTGGAACCAAAACAATAAAGAAAAATTGAGTTACTGTGACCATTTCGAGGAGGTTCATATCAGCATTCTTGACGTTGTGGCCAGGAGCGATGAGGAGACAGGATGACAATATCTATAGCATTTAGATGGTTGATGTTGGCTCCAGGGCTGATTTGAGCGTTAATTTGCTGGTCTACGGCTGCGCACCCATTTTGCCAAAGCATTTGATAGTGTTCCGCATGAGCGGCTGTTACGTAAAGTGAAGTCTTTGGGAATTGAGGGAAACCTACTCCAATGGATCAGAGATTTCGTGTCAGACTGGGCATCAGTGCGCAGTGGCGTGCCACGAGGAAGCGTTCTTGTGCCTATTTTGTTCGTTGCTTTTATAAACGAGTGTCCAGCGTGTGCTCCATGTATGCCGACGACCAGAGGTGGGCAGTAGCGCGCTACATGTAGCGGCCGCTACCCTAGTAACAATTGTAAAATGGGCCCATGAGGGGCCCATGTGACAATGTGGAAATGAGGTGGCATTACGGTTTCAACATATGGGGCCCACATTGATGCTATCTTACTCTGAAAAAATTATATCTGCATTCAAGTATCTAATACTTGACAAAAAAAATACGCAAATAGAAGCAACATTTTGAAAGAATTCAATAAATACATAATGATTGATACGTCATGGTGTAAGAACTTTCCAATTAAGCATTGAATAAATAACAAACTTCTATTTACCTCGCCCCGATTCTCAACATGAATCACTTCAAAATGCAGCTCATCCAGACTAGAAGTGGACGACGTGATTTCCACCTGAAGGCAGAACAAGCGTTCACATTACAGCCCACGTCAGAGATGAAGAAATAAAAACACAAGAAATATTACACATCGCAAACTAATGATGAATCCTTCACTAAGATGAACGCAATTCTCAAAGCACAATAGCAGTGTTGTATTTAATATGCAAAACATACGCAGGTATATGCGAAGACAAGACACAACGGTTCTGACAATGAAGAATCACTAATTATTCCTAGACACAGACAATTCAGCGGCAATAGTACCATATAAGAATTTTAAAATACTTTGTTGTATTAACACAACTCACGAGTCTCCATACATTCTCTAACAATTCTCATTAAAATACAACATAAGCGACAAATATAATGTGAAGTAGAAGACATGAACAACGTTTGATTGGTTTGTTGGTTTTGTACCGCCATGAGTACATTTTTATATTCATGGCTGTTTTTTTGGGGGGGGTTTTGTACAGCCAATGTTGGTTTTAGCACAGCCCTGCACACCTGTTTGGGTTCCATAGCAAAGAGATGCGGTAGCGGCTTCTTGGTGAAATACCTACCAGATGTTAACACTACTCACAAGTCTCTATACGTTCTCTAATAATTCTCATAAAAATATGACATAAACGGCAAATATAATGTAGAGTAGAAGACATGAACAACGTAATAATTTAGGTTTAAGAACAGCCTTGCACACCTGTTTGAGTTCCAGAGCAAAGAGATGCGTGAGCGGCTTCTTGGTATTGGTGGAAGCGTTGGAAGCGCCGTGTGGAGCGCTGCCAGGTCCACCAGATGTAATCTTCACATTCATCATACACAAGAATTTAAATAAATAATTCTTAATTAAAAAAAATCAGGCATGACAATGATTCGAAAATTAATATCAGCTTCAATCGCGAGTTAAATGGCTTCTTAAATTTTATGAAATTTTCTCGAAATATAATCTATATGCCTTAAAAAAATTTTGATTTTACAAGCCTACTATTTGCTAACCCACCAGTGAACATCAATGTTATATTGAAACCAAAATCAATAAAGAAAAATTGAGTTACTGCGACCATTTCGAGGAAGTTCATATCAGTAAGCTAAGCTTACTATTTGCAATCCCACTAGTGAACATCAATATTAAATTGGGACCAAAATCAATAAAGAAAAATTGAGTTACTGCGACCATTTCGAGGATATACATATCAGCATTCTTACTATTTGCTAACCCACTAGTGAACATCAATATTATATTTGGACCAAAACAATAAAGAAAAATTGAGTTACTGCGACCATTTCGAGGAGGTTCATATCAGCATCCTTGACGTTGTGGCCAGGAGCGATGAGGAGGCCAAAGCAGCGCTCAATACAGAGCTGATCTCCCACCGCCGCATGACAAGCATCGCCGGCATCACCGCTGCCAAGAGACGAGGGAGACGGTGCCACGCTGATGTGTAACTCCTTGTCCAGGTTGCAACGAAGCTTGAAGCATTCCTTGTCTCGAGGAACGGTGTAAAAGTTTCCCTGTGAATTAGAATACTTGAAATTGATTTCAAAAATACATATCGCATCTCAGAGCACTATGTCAAAGTTCTGTTGCCAATATAAATCAAGTTTTTCTATTTCTTTTTTTATGGCAGATATTTTTGCATGAACTCTAAGAGGAAATGCCATGAAGTGGTTTAAATTCCTCATAGTAGTTAACTGTAATGTCAGTGACAGAGGGAGAGACTTGCCTTGGCATCTTCCTCCTTGATTTCTAGTGAGATATCAAAAAGGTGTTTGAGATGCTGGCCATTTGTAGTGTCAGGTCCCTTGTTGCTTTTGGTCTCAGCAACACCATTCACTGCTTTTGGCACGCGACGGAAGGCAGCACCAAAACAATCCACAATCTTGCCAACCTGATATTAGTCAAATTCAAATTATTAGTATTAGATCTTGCACAAGACTTGTCAAAAAAAATATCAAGCCAACACTCTATCTACTGAAAAAATTGGATTGAGAGGCAACAGCGCAAAATGTACGAGAAATCCATTTGACTGAATATTCATCTGAATACCAGATTGACATTAAATTGCGACGTTCAAATATATAGATGTTCGACTAGAAATTCTCATTTTGAACACTTTTTTCAAGCAAGGATTGTACTGCTGCAATCACCTTGAATGTAAAATACAATACTGCCATTGCCATTGAGGAGAAATGAGTTATCTTCAAAAAGCACATGCAGAATACGATGAACTTACTGCCTCAGGGATCTGGCAGCGGAAGACATGGCACTGCACGATGCTGGTGGCAGGACTAGAGCCGTGGATGGTTGTGAAATTGAAGCAAGCGGCGTCAGGAGTGCCTAGGGTGCCATGAGTGCATTTCCGGATAGTGGAGATGTGATATCGAGTGATTTCCTGATTACTCTCTGCATCGTATATGCTGCACAGAAAAACACTTGTTGTTAAAAGACATTAGTTCGTGACAATCTTTGTTCAAAACATTATTCAGGAAGATTTAATTGATTATAAGACGAAAAACTTATAGTAAATAAATACTACTTAATTTTGAATGGAATGATTAGAGAGTAGGAATAACGAATGTTAATTATAGTGCAATTTATTATTGTTTTTCTGCGAAGCAGTTATAATGGCGTCTGGTTCATCGCAATATCATTATGGTCGCATAATATCGGCGTCCGGCGTCACATGGTCGAATTTTCGCCGATGGCACGCGAGTCGAGCAGCAGCGTCCATTACAAATTGCAGTTCATCAAGTGCCGTGGTCGAAAGTCCTCAAAGTGTGGCATTACCATAGTCCAATCTGGTCAGAACGAGCGCCACCACGAGGGCCTCGAGAGACAGCGGCTGACGCTACGTATTTCTCGCAGAGCGCCAAAACAAGCGGTGGTGACTTTGGCAATGTGATTGTTGATAGAAAGTTCAGAGTACAACAGAATGCCGAGCTTGCGAAACGAAGACGCAAGCATGATGAACTCGTTGCCTACGCGAAAAGGGTTAGACGGAAGCTGATGCTGGCGCCGAGCCGTCGGTTTTTGATGCAGAAAAAACAAATAAAGTCGGTTTTTGATGCATTGAGCTGGTGCCGGTTAGAGCGCATCTAGTCTGAGACGGCGTCCACGCAGGCAGACTGCTGGGCCAGCAACACTGCGCCTTCAGCCGGTGCACAGTAGCCATATATTTGGGTGTCGTCGGTGAACATATGCGGATTCAAACTGTGTGAATCAATATGCGCAATACGTTGACAGTATATAACAGGAGGAGAATCGGGCCGAGAACTGCTCCCTGGGGTACGCCGCAAGTGACTAACGTTGAAGTAGAAGAGTTCCCGCGTCGAACGCATCGGAATCTATTGCCGAGAATGGACCCGAACCACCGCAGTACTGTGTCTCGCAGGCCGAATGATATACGTCAAGTTGACGCAATAAAGTTGCATGGTCGACCGTGTCAAACACGGCCGACAGGTCGAGTAAAGCCAGTGCCGCAATGTCGCCGCGGTCTACAGCTCACAGAATGTCTGAAAGCACCTTAAGTACAGCGGTTTCCGTGGAGTGGAGTTGACGGTATGCAAACTGGAGGGGAGGCATGAGACCGGACTGCTGAAAATGGTCATTCAGCTGTCGGGCCACAACGTGTTCCAGAAGTTTCGACAAAATCAATAGGTTCGATATATGGGATGAGATGGTTTTTTCAATAGAGGCATAATGTAAGCTGATTTGAAGTTCATTGGAACAACACAGTCAATGGGGCAGCAATTGAAATGTTCGACCAGAAATGGTGCCAGGGTTACGACATTCCTTCCCCTTAAGTAACGTTTTCGGCAGCGGATCGCTGGCACACTGCTTTTTGGGCAGCACGCGCACGGCAGCGATGACATCGTCAGCAGTGACGCGAGTGAACTTTGGAGCACGCAGTCGAACAGGCACGCGGCAAATGTTGCCGGCGGAACATCGGCTGACGTCGATCGCAGAGCAGAAATATTATTATAAAAAACGCATGGAATTCCTCCACGCTTATGTCACCCGAAGCCTCTGTATGACCTCTTCCCATGAATTTATCTAGCGATCGCCACAGCGCTCGAGGATCACTGCGTTGCGCGTCGACTCTCTGGCGTCAAAATGACTCTCTTTTAGAACGAAGAAGGTCTACATAATTGCGACGCGCATTTCGCCAGGTGGAGGCCACAGCGACGGCAGCAGCAGGATTGCCGCGTCTGTTCGCCCGGTAGACAGCCCGCTGGAGCAGTCGAATCCCTCGCTTCGAGACTTGACATTCATCGTCGAACCATGGGTTGGAGATTCGAGGTACTCGAACTGTGCGTGCAGGAATGAGGTCATCGCGTGCACAGGTCAGCTCGGTATTGTAGATTTGCACGAGGTCGTTGACTGATAGTGCCGACCATGAGTTAGGCCGACATAGTCGCGACGACTGCAATTTTTCGCATTAGACATCGCAGTCCGAGACCGCGTCACGGGCGACAGGAAACGGTTTCGTGCGCTGGCACCTGGCGCAGACATGGCACCATCCACTTAAGTAGTCGATGGTCGGATGTTGCGATCTCGATGATGTCGACTGGCAGATTTTGTCAAAACTGGTAGACTTTGTCATAATTTGGGGGAAGAATGCTAACAGCAAGATATAGGGCGAAGTAGTTGTTCTTATTCATGGGGGGGGAACTCTGGGATTGTCCAGGATAAAATAAGAGCAACGCTCCGTTGTAGGTTGCGGGGTACGGTATGTAACTAGCTGGGAGTGCGTCAGGTGTGAGTCCCGGGCCAACTGAGCCGTTGCGTGGTCATCAGCAAGTCGGGTGGCGTGATCAAGGTGGGGTGGTTGGAGTGGTGTTGATGTGTTAGGAGCAACCGCCAAGGGAAGCATAACGAAAGTGACAAGCGACGAGATTTGCAACGACCAGCCGCGATAGCTTGAGGACAGAGTTCCAAAGACATCCGTGAACATCCAAATGCGCTTGAGCAAAGATTTCGTTAACAACAGTGGGAGAGATTAAAATTTCGACGTCCTCCAAAGAACTTCCCATAAGGCTCCAGTAAATCTTTTAAGTTAATCTTAATCTTGAAGGGGTGAAAACTTGATAGCCCAAAACTCCAGCCTTGTTCCAGCTTCAGCCGTTTTACAGACCTCGAGTCCCGGGATTGACTCCACCAAAAGTCGGGAGTCTATGCCAGCGCAGCTGCATCAAGAAATACCATCGAAGGTGCAAAAAAAAATTTCACGAAGGTCCCGCGAGACCGTCGATTAATGGCGGAGCAAAATATGGCGTAATCGACCAGCCACAGTCTCCGGGAGTCTCTGTTCCAAACCCGGTGATGTACCAGTTGTGGAACTCAAGTTAGGCAGTTTTTTATTTTAGCAGAGAGCGCCCAGTAGGTGTCGTTGTTATACCTAGCTGTGGACAATAACTCTACAATTTCTGTACATACTTAAGTCTGTGTCTGATTTTTGTAATACATGTAGTGTTAAATATTTCCATGTGTCGTCATTTCCCTCATGTACTTTATTCATTATTGCCCGATAGGGAACCTCAAGTGCCATTGAAACCCCTATGGCCAAAACTTGACAAATAAATACATCAAGTTCCTCTAAGGAGGAAGAGATATAAGTAGTAGTAACACTACTTTTTAAACCTGATCAGGAAATGTGAGATAATTTGTTAGCAAGCATAACTGTTTCATGAATTTAAATTACCACCAAATCCAGCTTGGAAGTATGTTAAGTGGAAAAGGCAAATAATAAACAATTATCAAACAAACTTACATGACAGAGCTCTCTGAATGTGAAGGGACAGACAGCGATATCTCAATAGCTTGCTCTTGATGTTCACTGTTCAGAATAGACATTTTTTGTATGATCTCTTCATGAGTGCAGGCAGAGGAGATAGCAGCAGCACCAAGGTAAGAAATCCTGTTAAAGATGGTGTACTCATCACAAGACGGCTTCTCAATAGTGAGTGTTGTTGCTGAAGCAGTCATATTTGATGAAGAAGGGGAAGGCTCAAGATTGCTTGTAGGCCTGAGATCTGCTTTTGGCTGGTCACTAACTGAACTATTAAGGCTTGTTGCAGGTATGGCTTTAGCCCCTGATTCTGAAGCATTCAAACAGGGGGGTGGTTGCACGCTGAGAGGGTGCAGTTCGTCTGCTGAAAAATAGCACTATATTAATTAGAAATTCTAGGAGATATTATTAATTAAGAACATGGAATAGAGTATGCTAATTATAAATAAATTTTCTGCCAAATTGAGAACCATGAAAGCTGCTTACACAACAATAATAACACAATTATGTATTAAATATAAAATCAGTTGCAGTTTTTATATCACTTTGTGTGGGAAAATTCTTGCATAACCTACCTGCTTTTGGAACACATTGTAAAATTCCATGCTTCTCAAGTCCATTTTTAGTGGCACTGGCAACAGAGACAGTCTGTGGCACAACTTTTCCCTCCTCCTTTAGGTCACTAGCAAAGCTGGATGTTTTCTCTTGAGTTGTGCCTTCAGTTGTAACGTTTTCTGGTGATGCATCTAAAGACTTGAGAATAGCAGAATCATTTTCTTTTGTAACGCCACTGATCATATCCTGCATGACCTGAAAAATTACATTTTTTTACACTTTTAGTGACATTTATCCATCAATGTTGTATAAATATAATTAGAGAAAGAATTTGGGTTTTATAATTGATATAGGTGAATATAATGGAAAAATATTGAAAAGGTCTTTTCATGAATTCAATACAATGAAGTGATAGAACTATGCTAAGCATAAAAATCAAATTCAAGAATTGTGAACCAATGTTTCAACTTTCAACTATTTTTTTTTATCTTGGACAGAACAATCTTGACAATTAAAAATGATTTCCATCTTTCATTTCCCCATTATAAGACAAATTGAATTGACTGGAACCAAATTTTGACAAATATTTCTTGATAGATGTGGTGCCATTATACTGCCATACATTCTGTAACATGTATACGGTATACTGGAAATTCATCCATATTCCTTATTATCAGTGTCCCATAATATCTGTTGCTATGCCTACAGCTGGAAATTTTGCAAATCTATTTTTGAAGCCAAAAGACTTTCCATGTCAAATTTGTAACTGTATATTTTCACATAATTTAAATCACTTTTCCTGTTAAGTTTGTGTACTTACATACATTAAAATACGATTTTTCAAGTGTACGAATATTTATTTCCCCCCACTGTAAATATAAAGGAAAAAAAATTAAAAGGTCTTTTCATGAATTCAAAACATAGAACCACGCTAAGTTTCTAACTAGTTTTCATATCTTGGACAGAACAATCTTGATACTTAAAAATGGTTTCCATCTTTCATTTTCCAATTATAAAACAAATTAAATTGATTTGTTACCAGATTTTGACAAATATTTCTTGTTTGATGTGGTGTCATTCATTCTATGTGTACTGGAAATTCATCCATATTACTTATTCTCTGTGCCACATAATAATATCTGTTGTTATGTCTTCAGCTCGAAATTTGGCAAAGTTATTTTTGAAGCCAAATGACTTTTCTATGTCAAATTTGTAACTGTATATTTTCCAAATTAATCAACATTCAAGTCACAAAATTTCTAAGAAAGAAGCACTAGATGAGAGTCACCCAAGAAACAGTAAAATTACAAGTAAAAGTAAAATTAAAAAGTAAAAATAAAAAGTAAAAAGTAAAATTAAAATCACAACAGTCTCACCTCAGTCATTTGTTTCTCAAGATCAGCCACACTGCCATTGTTGGCAATGGTGAACTCTTCTTCAGCACTTTTGGTCTTCTGTGAATAAGCATCCATGCTTTTCTTGACCGCACCATTACTGGCTGTAGAATTAGGAGCACACGACATATCACGTGACTCATCACCATCTGCTATCAGGGGAGAATTTGGAGAAGATCCATCCAGTATTTCAAAGTCTTCACTGGTCCCTGAAGAATCTGCAGACACCACACTCAGTGGTTCATCCATGAATGATTTCAAAAGTGGAGTCAGTCATCCAAATTTCAAACCTACATGAGTTTACAGATACTACATAAATTTTTGTCTGCAAACAGTTAATAAATACTCATTAATTACAATATTGATTACCTGCAAATTCAATGGCTATGACAAATGAAAATAATAAATAGAAATTATATAGTAATTCTAGGGATGTTATTATTAGTTCATATATGTACTGAATTCTGGGTCACTTACTTGGTCTAATTCAGTCAGCTAAGTAATAAACCAAAGCTTCAGTTTAGGGCATTATCATTATGATCCAATATACAATTATAATTTGTAATTATATAAGTTTGTAAATAATATATATCTCTCTCTCAAATTTTATGCTAGGTTATCATGATGTCACGTGGGGAAAACTATATATCTACTTCATCAGTCAGGAGTAGATTTTTGGAGCTGTGAATTTGCAGCAATGGAAACTTGTGCCCAAGCAAGTAATTTTAAGCCAATTTTCAGGACTGTCAATGAACAATTTTAATTCAAGTCACAGATCTAAGCTCAAATTGATTACCGGTATTGTATATACAGAAAAGAGTAGAAACAAAAAATATGTTGTACATCAAAGGCAATTCAGGACAACATTACATATCATTTTCACTTTTGCCAGACAATAATGAATTTTGGTTGATAAATACATTGATGTCTGAAGTGACTGCAGTCTGCAAGTATAGGCTATAGCTTATTCTGAATTTCTTTAGCATAAAATAGGAAAACTGACATTTTTGCCTGCATTTTATGGAATTCACTAGAATAAAACAATCAACATTACTAACAATTCTAAGAAAATTTAGCCCAATATAATATATTCTATTCTAGTCTTCCAGATTGAGACTTGGACTTGACAGCTTCAGGCTGCTTCACTTTCAGGCATAAAACTGAGGATCAGGAAGAAGCCACCCATGAATGAGATAAAAAAAATCTCTTGCAAGTTGCATGTAGACTATTTCACAGATTTCACTTGTTCCTAATTCCAAATTTCCAATGGCCCATGCTTGATTTTTACTAGCCATGCAATTACAAAAAACAGCCGCTCACTAACTGGCAGTGATAGCTTTTATTATCATTTTGGATTGTAACTAGTAAGCATGGTAGAACTTCAGATTAAGTGCATCCAAAAAAGGGCGTTTTTTTTTAATGTTATGTTTTTTGGGGTGTAGATAAAAAATCTGAAATCCATTTTTGGCGGTCGGCATCGGAAAACCGATTTTCTTCCAATTGGAATTCTTCATTGTCCCACTAATCACGGAAGGAGAGGAAGGAATGGAACCTAACCTAGCGTGATTTTTAGGTTTTACATAGGTTTACAGTCATTCCCAGATCGATATAGATCATTTCCAGTCAAAAAAAATTTCCAATTTTTTTCCAATTTTGCAGATTTTTGCCTGATTTTTTTTTGCCAAATTAGAGCCTTGGGTGTGTCCCCCCCCTAAAACCCCCGGTTCCCCATGGGCAGGGGTGGAATACATCTACTTTTAACGGAAATTTCGCGGCCCGAGATCTCCCATTTATATGTAAGTTTGAAATCTCGCGGCTCGGAAGTCAGGTAAAATATATTGATTTAGAAATGTCGCGGCTCCGAAATGGGTCACGTGACGTGTGATGGAAAGGCAAGCCAGCGGTTGGCAGTTGTCGGCAGCAAAACGATAAAGAATAGTGCACCGGCCGATGTATCACTGTATCATTTGAGCTCATGTTGTTGCCACGTGCGGTTGTGCAGTGATAACTCCTAATCCCGTTTCCACAACAACTAGGCTTGGCGCCGGTCTGCGATGCATGGTGGCTTGATACCTGTAANTTAAGGAAAATACTTGAAATTTTTAAAAAAAAACACGTTTTTCTTGTGGACTAAAAAGTAGGAAATAAATTAAAACTATGGCTTGCCCCAAAAACGTGTGTCGGGCAGATTTATGATTAAAGCAAAAAGCACACAACACACAAATTTTGGAAATTTGATGGTGAACGTACAGCCCGACCCACGTCATATTGGCAGATTCATGATAAAAAAAAACGAAAAGCACACAATACACGAATTTTGGAAATTTGATGGTGAACGTACAGCCTAACCCATGTTTTTTTGGGGCAAGCCATAATTTATTTTCTACTCCTTAGTCCACAAGAAAAACGTGTTTTTTAAGTATTTTATTTTCTCCTTTTTAGTCCGTTGCTACGCAACGTACTAAACGCAACGTACCGTTGCTATGCAACGGACTAAAAACGCATATGCACTTGACGGATATGCACGGACGTACGTATTGATGATACGAGGCGTCAGCGCCTGCTCGTCTATAACATCAGCCGAACTTTACTTAATTAAGCTAATTTAGGGCTCTAATTGCTAGTTTTTATGATTGTATCTGAAATTGTTAGGCAAAAATAGCCTGCAGGC